AAAAAAGCAGTTCTGCAGCCAGGAAGACTTTGTAAAAATATTTCTTATTTCAGAGAGGAAGGGAGAGGGCGTGAGGAAAACATCAATGATGAGAGAGAATCGTTGATTGGCTGCTTCCTGCACATCCCCCACTGGGGATCGAGCCCACAACCCGGGCATGTGCCCTTGAACAGAATCAAACCTGGGTCCCTTCAGTTCGCAGGCCGATGCTCTATCTACTGAGCCAAACCGGCTAGGTTGGGAAGACATTGTTAAAAAGAGAAGAAAAAGCAACTGTTCCTAAAATATGATGAGATGTGGGAGCTTACATGTGGGCAGAGGATGTGAAGGTGTGATGTTGGGGGGAGAGGAGAAAGACCCGCTGGGTGGGCTTGCATGGGGAATTGGAATTATGTCGTGGTCGCTCGCTCAGAGGACAGATCGTGAAGTTTGCATGCAGAGCACAATGAAACTGTCAGTGGTTGAGGTCGCTCCTGGAGGCCCGGCGTGGCTGCTGGGTTGGGGTTGGGGACTTAGAGCGTGGCCAGGTGCACACCCACTTAGAACGTGTGGGGTACTGGCTTCTGCGAGCTGGTAATGGGGAAAGCGTGGAAGGCTTGTGGGGCTGTCCCATGGGAACACGGATGTGTAATGACCTTTTGGACCTAAGTTACAGGAATATTTGAGAGCTTTCCAGCGGCTACAGTGACGGAGCTAAGAATGCAGATGTTAGGAAGTCTGTGGCTCTCGATGGATTTTCTAAGAAACCTGATTCAGTAGCACATGTATGAGGGAAGTGAGGCTCTAAAAAGAAAATGATACCTCATTCCTCACGTGTTTTCAAATACATGTCTACTTATCTTTACTTCTGATCAGGGGGTGGTTGGCTCGGAACCGTCGCATCCCCTCCACGCTGTCCTGGCGCAGGTGGTCCTGCCTCGCTGCCCAGTCAGTCTTCCTGTGCGTGTCCGTGTCCATGTCACCAGTTGCTGGGGAGGGGGGCGCTATTCATTGGCGATGTCGACTCCAGTCTTGGCCTTGCCATTGGCTGCTCAGTGTTGGATGAGCTGTGACCTCTCTGTGCCTTAGTTTCTTGTCTCACAGAAGAGATTGTTGCCAGACCCGGGACTACCTCACAGGCTTTAGTGAGGACAAGTGAGATTAGGAAGACTCAGGAGCCTTCCGTACCAAGACTCCTAGTGCTGGCTGTGCCCTGGAACCACACTGTGCCCCTTTCCCCACCCCGGCGACGGAATCAGAACCTCGGGCAGCAGTGCGCACCACGCTGCTTGAGAAGGAAGGGAAAACACATTCTTATTACCTGAGAGGAATCCCGTAGGGCCCAGGGCTTTTAAAAGTTCCTTTTGGAAGAACAGGCTTCTCTTTCAGAATGACCAGGTGTTGACATGTGTGTTCATGCGACAAGTGCTATCTAAGCCGTTCTCTCTTTGCTTCTTGTCAAACATGCCTTCATCTACTGAAACAGTCTGTGAAGTCTTGGCAGCGAATATAAACAGACAGGAATCTATAAATCTGCAGAATAGACATTAAGGCTATTAATTATTGAGAGAAAAGCCCCTTTCCTCACAAGTAACCCCTGTGGTGTTTAGAGCTCAGTTTTACCCAGAACATTCAAGTGCCTCAGTGTCTGTGTGGTACAGTGGAGCAGGTGCGGGCACACTTGCCGCGGACACGATATTCCCCAGCGCCTTGGATGTTTCTCACGGGCTTGGAGTGAGCAGTAGTGCTGGGAAGGTACGGGATCCGCAGCACCCACAGGGGAGTGAAGCTACACAGTGTGTTTAACTGTTGAGGTTGTCAGGCTGTGGTGCATGTGGGGGGGCGGGGGCGGGGGCTCTACTGGAGAAGACAAGGCCCCTGAGTGGCCCCACAGCATGTGGGAGCCGTGAAGGAAATTCAGTGATACACGGACTCTGTACCTAAGAGGAAATGACTTCTGAAATAAGGTGATGTTATGAATGTTTAAAATGCCTGGAGCATTAAAGTGAAGTAATAACATTTCAAGTGTCCTTGTTCCCTGTGGTTCTGTCATCTCGTTGTTGGAGTTGACTGTTTCGGGTACCATCGGTTGTTTGAGTCCATGACTCTGTCAGGCAGACTGTCTGTAAAGTGCCAGATAGTAAGTATTCAGGCTCTGCAAGCCATGCAGGGTCTCTGATGCATTTTCTTCTTTGCCTTTCCCCAGACTCTTAGGAAATATATAAAGCATTCTTAGCTCAAAGGCCATACAAATTAAACCAGGTGTGACCATCGTTGGCTCAACCCAGCATGTCGTCGAATATATAACCCAAAAGATTGTCCCTTGTAATTGAGATGAACATAGGTTTTGAAAACCTTCAACACAGTTCTAAGAGTATAGAAGGCCACAATAGACACAGACATTGTGGTAAAGGCCTGGGCAATGTGGAGGGGGAGGGATTATAGGGTGGAGAGAGCTATTGGTGGGGGGAAAGAGGGGACATTGTAATACTTTCAACAATAAAGATAAAAAATTTTAAAATGAACATAGAAGGCCACAGGCATGTAGGGCTGTGTGTGTGCCCAGGGGAGACCTGAATTCCCTCAGCTTTCACCTCTCTCTCACTTGGAGGGTCTTCACAAGCAAGAAGTGATGACTAAGGCAGAGCTGTAACCTCTTTCCTGAGCATGAAGGCATCTCACTCACACATTCACACACACACACAGAGTCCCTGGGCAAAGACTAGGAGACTTACTTGTTCCAGACATTCAGGAACTCTCTATGCGATCAATTGACCACTAAGGTAACTGAGCAGAGACTTCGGTGGCCACGCATAACAACGAATACAGGTTTTACAGAATTAGCTCAGGAGAGTCACTAAATAAAGAGCTACAACAATAAACTCTGGAGTGGGGGGAGTATCTGGTTTCCAAAGTTGGCCCATTATATCCTTAAAATCTTCCAATTTTCAACACAAATTATGGGATATGCAAAGAAAAAAGAAACTCTGGCCCATAGAGGTAAAAGGTAGTCAATAGGAATGTCCCTGAGGAAGCCCAGGTATTGGACTTACAGAACTAAATGAGACAAGAATGGCATTGGAAAGTACAACCATACAAATAAAAAATTCATTACAGGTGTTCAAAAGCAGGTTTGAGCTGGAAAAAGAAGGAATCAGTGAATATGAGGTCAGGAGATTATTCAGGCTGCAGAACAAAAAAAAAAGAAGAAGGAAAATGAACAGCGCTCCAGAGATCTGTCCAGAGACATGCATGTATACCAACATATACATATCATGGGTCCTAGAAAAGAAAGGGGAAGAAAACAGTGGAAAAAGTAGTGGCTGAAAACTTTCCACTTTGGTGAAAAACATTAAAATGCATGTGAGAAATTCAACAAGCTTCAAGTAGGATAGACTCAAAGAGATCCACATCAATACACATTAATCACTAAGAAAATAACTTTAATTATAGTAAAAAAAAAGAGAGGAACTAAAATGTTACACTAGAAAATAACTAACAAAAGTGAAGGCAGAAATGGAGGAATGAGGGGAGGTAGAAGGCAAACAGAAAACAAATAGCAAAATGGCAGACATAATCCTACCTTATCAGAAGTTTCATTAAATGTAAATGGATTAAACACTTCAAACAAAAGGCACAGATGGCAAAATGGATTAAAAAAGAAACCAAAACTACCATGATCCACCTCTGCAATCTACTAAAGACACAAATAGGTGAGAGTAAAAGGATAAAAAAAGATATACTGTGTAAATAGTAATTCAAAGAGAGTTTGAGTGGCCATACAATATTAGACAAAATCGGCCTTAAGAAACAAAGTTGTCACTATAGGCAAAGGACATTTTTTAATGATAAAGGGAGTGATTCATCAGGAAGATACAATCTATATCTATAAAAGCCTAATATGTTAAGTGTCCCTCCAGCCATCCGACCAGTTGCTATGACATGCACTGACCACCAGGGGACAGATGCTCAATGCACACTAGCCATTTACAAAAAATGGCACCATGGACCTGGCACCAACAAACCAACACTCAGCTTCCCCCACCCCAGACACAAGCCCCACCACCACCCCAGAGCGACACCCCACCAAATTACAGTCAATGCTGCCAAAACCCCATGGCACAAAATGCAGCTCACAACCCAGCCCGGCCCAGAAACAGTCGCTGTGGGCAGAGGGTGATGATGTCATGTAGCAATGCCTGTCTTCTTCTCCCTAGTGACTAGCCTCCTTGGAGTTTCTTCAGCCCAGGAACACAACTTGTTTTATAGCCAGGTGCAAATATTATACACTTTAACCAAATGTCTATGAAGCATTTTCCCCTGCCTCATCTCATTTGATCCTCACAGAAGTCCTGGAGTAGGAAATAGGAGACTCAGTAAAATCCTGTTTTCTTTTCATTAGCTGGAAAATGGAGATTTAGAAAGTTTAGAAACTTGACCCGACTGAAAAGAAGTAAAAAATGGTGGACCTTGAAAATGACGTCAGGTTTTCTCACTGCACAGAATATAGTCAAACACTGCTACAGTTTTACCCTTTGTTCTCCCTGCATGATCTACAATAATAATCTCTTCATGTTGATATTTACTGCTGTGTTGCTGACAATTACCTGAAAGAGAAGTTGGGGTGCTTCACTGGGCTGGAAAAAGTTTAGCTACGTCAGAAAGCAGATCTAATTAAGCAAGTTTATTCTATATATATAAAAGGCTAAGTTGACTCGTGCATGTGTGATACATATAAAGCTCTTGCTGGCGCCAATTGCACGCGTGTGTTTCGATCTGTCATTGTCGATCATGAGTTTGGTTGACACTTCTATTATAAAGAAAGGGCAAATAGCGATATTAAAATATCTCTTCTAATTAATTTCCTTTCAATGAATCCATGCACCGGGCCACTAGTTATAACATAATGCACCTAGCAACAGAGCCCAAAGACACAGAAAGCAAAAGCTGGCAGAACTGAAGAGAGAAATAGACAATTCAACAATATTAGTTGGAACTTTCAATCCTCCATTTTCAAAAATGGATAAAACACCTAGTCAGAATATCAACAAGAAAATAGCAAACACTATAAACAACTAGATCTGACAAATATCTATAGAACTTTCCACTTAACAATATACATTTTTCTCAAGTGCACATGGAACATTCCCTGGAATGAACCATATGCCAAACCACAAACAAGCCTCAGTAAATTTAAAATGATCAAAATCATACTACATCTGTTATCTGACCACAATGGAATAAGTTAGAAATCATTAACAGAAATTTGGGAAAATCAGAAATATTTGGAAAATAAAAATACAGCCCTAAAAAATCAATGGATCAAATAAATAAATCACTAGGGAAATTAGAAAGTACTTTGAGATAAATGAAAATGAAAGCATACCAAAATTTATGGAATGCAGTTAAGCTCTGGCTAAAGGGAAATTTATATCTTTGAATGGCTACATTAAAAATCTCAAATCAATAGCCATTAGGTTTTTTTCCACCGTAAGAAACTTTCCACCTTAGAAAAGAAAGTGTAAATCCCCAAAAAGTAGAAGAAAAAAAGATTAGAATGGAAATGAATGACATTGAAAATAGAAAAACAATAGAGCAAATCAACATGACCAAAAGTTGCTGCTTTGAAACAATCTTCAAAATAGACAAAACTTTACCTAGACTGACCAAGAAAAAAAAATAGAGAACTCAAATTACTAAATTTACTACAACACAAAGAGGATGATAGAGGAATCCTATGAACAATTCTATGCCAACAAATTAGATAATTTATATGAAATGGGCACATTCCTAGACAGACACAAACTGGTGACACTGACACAGGCCTCTAATGAGTATATATACATGTCAAAGCTTACCAACGGGTAGAATTTAAGAGTGTGTGATTTATTGCCTGTTGATTTTACCCAAGTACCAAATGCAGCTGTTAAACACACACGAAGTTGAGGCACCTGAAGGTGCTGCTGAGTCCCCATTCAGAGAAGGTGCTTCCTAGGACTCAGACTAAAGGATCTTAAGACTGGGGGGCCCTTGGACGCTGCCATCCCCCACCTCCAGGACCCAGCCCACAGGAGGAGGGGAGCAGGCAGCGAGGCAGACCACTTCTTGAAATAGAGTGGAGCCTTTACAACTCAAATCGGTCAGAGAGCAGTCAGCTATTTACTCCCTCGAAGCCTCAGCAACAGCAACGATCCGAAAGCGGTCACGGGGAATAAGGGAACGTTTGAAGATTGCTCTCCTCGGGCCCTGGAGCGAAGGAGAACCCGAAGACAAAGCTGAGTTGGGCAGGGGGCATTCCGGCTCGGTACAGTTTCAGGCCGGCCCGTTCACGCCAGGGTTTCGTTTCCAAGTCGACCCTATAAAACGACGGACCGAGACCCGGTGGAATTAGAGGAGCTGCATTTCCCAGCGGACCGTGGGCGCTGCGCCTCTTTCCGGCGCTGCAGAGGCGTGCTTGGAGCCGGCGTGTGGGGCTGCATGGATCCCGGCGGCCGGTGGCGGGGCTTGCCCGGCGGGCCCAGCCTCAAGCACCTGACGGATCCCGCTTACGGGATCCCCCGGGAGCAGCAGAAGCCGGCGCTACAGGAGCTGACGCAGGCGCACGTGGAGTCCTTCAACTACGCGGTGCGCGAGGGGCTCAGCCACGCGGTGCAGGTGAGTGCGGCTCCTCCGGGCTCCCTGCAGCTCGGCGCTCGCTGGCGCTGCTAGGTCGGGCGGAGGAGAGGGGCCCCGTGGGGCTGGAGGCGGGCGGCGGGTGGGAGACGGGGGATGGGGAGACCCAGGAGGCGGGGTGAGCGGGCCACTGGCCGGGGACAGGGTCCCAGACAGAGGGGATGGCTGGAGGTCACAGTAGAACCCCAAATAGTTGTGCTTCTTGATCGTGGCAGCCGCAGCTCGGGGCTTGAGCTCAAGCCGACCGGGGGAAGATGTGTTTGTGGTTCCTGGATTTTTATGGGATTGGGAGCCGCAGTGCTTTGTAGGACAGTAGGTGCTGAAGGGTGAGGAAGTGGCCCGCGTGGGCTGAGCTGAGCTTCCAACCGTAACACATTGTTCTTAGTTAACACGAGGAGAGCTCAGTGGAACAGCAGAGCTTTTCCCGGGGAGGAGGGCGGGTACCGAAAAGCAGATGCTGTGAAGGGGGGGGGGGGCAGGGAACCTGGGGTACCACCTTTCCCTTGGCATGCATGAGACCAAGTGGAATGAAATGCACAACTGTCAGCCTAAAGAATGACATTAGAGTGTCCGGTCCTGAGTCAGGAGGTGCTTCCATAACTTTGCTCTGTCAGCAGTCCTGTCAATCTTACTACGGGTGGAGAAGCTACAAGGTAAGGAGAGAGAGGGCAGGCTCTTGGTTCAGAGGACAGCTCTGTTCTGCACACAGTGGTCACTCTAGAGCAGTGGTTCTCAACCTTCTAATACTGCGACCCTTTAATACAGTTCCTCATGTTGTGGTGACCCCCAATTTCATTGTTACAAATTGAACATAATTAAAGCATAGTGATTAATCACAAAAACAATATGTAATTATATATGTGTTTTCCGATGGTCTTAGGCGACCCCTGTGAAAGGGTCGTTCGACCCCCAAAGGGGTCGCGACCCACAGATTGAGAACCGCTACCCTAGAGCCTGCTGCAGAAGCTGACACACGGTAGACGTTCAGATGTCCGAGTTTACACCGTATGCTCTTTGGTACATAGTAATGGTGTGAGTAGACTGGATGTAGCTTTAGCTGTCGTTTTAATGCCACATTAACATGAGAGGCAACAATGTGTGTAGGAAATTCATGGGCTTTGGAAGAGTCTCAGTGAAGAGGTACCTGGGACATGCAAGCAGTTAATAATGTGAATTGTATTTCAGGCTATACCTCCCTTTGAATTTGCTTTCAAAGATGAGCGGATCTCTCTCACTATTGTGGATGCCGTCATCAGCGCCCCCACCGTTCCCAAAGGGAGCATCTGCAAGGAGCTCAATGTTTACCCTGCAGAATGCCGGGGCAGGAGGAGCACCTACCGGGGAAAGTTGACAGTGAGTACAAGTGACAGTACGAGACTCAAACGCTGGACATGTCTACGAATATTGGTGTCCAATAAAATGTAACCAGAATTCTGCTTTGTGCTGTCACCCAAGAGATCTCTTCTTTTAAATCTGAAGCATAAAATCATCTAGTATATGGTCTTTTTCCTCTTTTAAAATACTCGTTTGTTCTTGTAGATCCAAATACTTTGTTTTTTTCGTAACTAATTTTTTTCATTTAGGCTGATATCAGCTGGGCTGTAAATGGAATCTCAAAAGGAACCATTAAGCAGTTTCTTGGCTATGTTCCCATCATGGTGAAGTCCAAGCTTTGCAACTTACACAACCTTCCTCCAAAAGCCCTCATTGAGCACCATGAGGAACCAGAGGTAATTTCAGGGGTGCAGGGCACTGAATGGGCAGGCGACAATAGGAAGGACCCGAGTTGGGAGTGAGAGGATATGAAGCTTGCCAGAGGGAGTCAGTGTTTCTTTCTCCGCCTCTAATTTTGGATAGATAACGTGGAGCATTGATCTCTTGTCTGCGTACTGTGCACAACTCATAATGAGTCTCAAATGAAGCAATGTATGAAAAACTGGCTGCAATTAGGATATTATTATTATGATGGGGAAATAATTGGTAGGTTTTTCCCTAATTTTCTGAATGGTGTATATTTAGAGATATTTCTGTTTTTAAAGCCATCTTAAACGACAAAACTATTTTCTAAGATGTCTGCTTTACCGAACAGTAAGATTCTGTGAGGATATGAAGTGCCTTATATGCTTTCCCTTTGGCATTTCTTTTTAGCTGTGTCAGGTGGCTTTGCAGCATTGAGTTGAAGTAATCAAGATTACAGACGGTCTGTAATAAAAACTGTTACCTGGTGGGACGAGGGTTTGGTGTCAGATCTGGGTTTGACATTCAGCTGCTGTATTACCGGTTGTATGGCTTTGGGAAGTTTAATCTCCCTGGACCTGTTTCCTCTGCTAAAAATGGGCACAGAAGCTATCTTACTCATTATTATGAGGACTAAATGTTAGGATAACATAGAGCACCTGGTATGATATGCCTACTTAATAGTAGCTCTTTATTACAGAAATGTGATATTGACAAGCAATTAAAATAATTTTCCTATTAATTTTAATATCTGATTTCAGGAGATTTCATATGGTTATCAGTTGTTTTTTAACGTATTTGGGAAATCATACTTGTCTGGAGGCAAAATGGTTGCTATTTTCATTTGCAGACTTTTCTTTGAAATAAGGTGTTTGTTTGTTTAATGTTATTTGAAGACTAAGGTCATTTTGGGGGACAGAAAGACAAATTAGATCAAAGCTGTCTGAAAGTACCGACTTCCTTCCATACTTCCAGTTCCCTAAACCTTTTTCATGTACTTGAGAAGACTTAACTTACGCACTGACAGCTTTCCGGGGATCCATGGCCCCCTTCACCTGCACTTTCCTCTCTTCTGCACTTTGAACAGGGTCTGCTAGGAGGTTAATTTTTGCAGTTAGTCAGTTTCATATTCACAGTTACTTATCTTTGTTTAACAAATTATAATTCATCTCTTTGGCAGGAAATGGGAGGCTATTTCATAATCAATGGCATTGAAAAGGTCATCCGAATGTTGATTATGCCTCGGAGAAATTTCCCTATTGCAATGATAAGACCAAAATGGAAAGCTAGAGGGCCTGGCTACACTCAATATGGTAAGCTCTAGTGATTTTTAGGATGTTGTCTTAGAAAAGTTTTAAGCCATTTTTAAAAAAAGGAGATGCATCTAAATAGAGTCTTTGACATTTTTCTCTCGTATGTATATAAAATTTTATTTTTCTGTTAAGCATTTCTGTGTTAAGATTTCATAGTAGCAGATCTACTTTCTGATATCTTTCAAACTGAAAGAACGTGTGTGTATATGTTAGTCTGAGGCTGGAGGCTGGCCTGACTTTGCCAGAGGTGGGTGTGGGCCCCAGAAGTCTTCTGGTTCAGGTACCATGGCACTCCCCTCAGGGTCCTGGCTGGCAGCCACCTGGCCTTTGTTTGGGGGAGATTTTGCACCTCGGGGGAAATTTGACAAGGTCTGAAGACATATTTTGTTGCCAATTTTGGCTAAACTTAGTGTTATGGCTCTTAATTATTTCTAAGAAGGTGAAAATAATTCAGAATGAAATGATTGAAGCAGTTACAGTGTTACTGAGTTTCCAGCTTTTTGTTTTGTTTCAACAGGAGTGTCAATGCACTGTGTGAGGGAAGAACACTCTGCTGTCAATATGAACCTTCACTACTTGGAAAATGGCACAGTTATGTTGAACTTTATTTACCAGAAAGAACTGTTTTTTCTTCCTTTGGGATTCGCACTTAAGGTGTGACTTGCTGAGTATATTTCTTTTGTTATGAAGGGGGTCATTGGAAGCGTGTCCTATGCAGAATGAATAGGTTCTCCTTATCAACGTTCATGCTGTACTTGTTACCTACTGCTCCATAACACATTACCTCGGAATTCAGTGGCTTAAAACACATCAGTGAACGTTTCTCCCTCACAGGTTCTGTGGGCAGGAATGTGGGCAGCTCTGGCTGGGGTCTCAGAGGTTGCAGAGCGATGTCACAGGGGCTGAGCTGTGTAGAAGCTTGACCAGGGCTGGAGGATCCCTTCCAAGGTGGTTCCTCCGGGCTGGCAAGTCAGTGCAGGCTGTTGGCAGGAGGTCTCAGTTCCTCTCCAGTGGCCTCTCCATAGGCTGCTTGGGGCGGCCGTCTTCCTCAGAGCATTAGCCCAGTGAAGGGAGGGAAGCTGCAGTGCCCCTGGTAGCCTAGCCTTGAGAGCTGGGTGTCACCTTTTCCGCCATATTCTCTTGTCACAAGGGCTCTGATTTGGTGTGGGAGGAGGTTATGCAAGCTTGTGAATCCCAGGAGGCGAGGATCATTGGGGCCATCTTGGTGCCTATCTTCCAAGTGCCCTTACTTTGGAGAATTCACTTCAGTTTAACAATAGTGGAATGCTCGTGTTTCTCGGGTATTAAATAGAAAAGGAGAGACTTGTTCCTGAATGAATTGGATGGTTTCGTTATTATTAGCCATGACAAAGAAAAATCTCTTTTCTATTCTAGGCACTTGTCAGCTTTTCCGATTACCAGATTTTTCAGGAGCTCATCAAAGGAAAAGAGGACAACTCTTTCTTTAGGAACTCTGTTACTCAGATGTTAAGGATGGTGATGGATGAAGGTTGTTCCACACAGAAGCAGGTCCTTAACTATCTAGGTGAACGCTTCAGAGTAAAGCTTAGTCTCCCTGACTGGTATTCAAATGAACAAGCGGCAGAGTTTCTGTTTAAGTATGCGTGCTTTTGCCTACACTGTTTATTGGGGGTTGGGGGGTGTCACTGGTTCTTTGTGTTGATGTAGTTGGGACTGGTGAGTCATGCGGCCTGAATTTTGGCCTGGCGAAGCGGGCTAGCTTTGTTTCTGTGGCCATCTTCACCTTTCTCTGGTTTTAGGTAGTATCATTTTATTCTAATGTACTTTCTAACTTTTAGTTTGAAATAACTTCAAACTTCCAGGATTGCTGCAAAGATAGTACATTGGACACTCATGTTGACTGTTAACACTGTTACTATATTTGCTTTACTTGTCTGCACATGAGTAAATGTTCCTTCTCACCATTTGAAAGTTGCAGGCATCATGTCCCTTTATTTTCCCAAGACAAGGGCTCTGTCTTTGTGACCTGCTGTAGGTCAGCGTGGTCCAGTGCACAGCTGTGGGCCATGCTGAGTGCTTGAATGGCCAGTGCAACTGAGAAACTGAGTTCTGAATCTTATTCCATTTTAATTAATTAATATTTAAAATAGTCCTTGTGGCTTGTCACTACCATGTTGGCCAACACCGCTGTAGACCTTGTGTGAGACTGCATTCTGCTCTTTTGTTGATGTTGCTGTAAGATGAAAAGGGGTTTTTCTGAATATGAGTAAGGACTTTTAAGTAAACATGAATTGGGGGTCTTGGTTAGTAGAAAGGCAAGTAGTGGTAAGCAGTTGAATCATTTTAAGCTTTTTCTTTCTATTTTGACAGCCAGTGTATCTGTATCCACTTGAAATCTAATACTGAGAAGTTTTATGTACTTTGTCTCATGACCCGGAAGCTGTTTGCGTTGGCCAAAGGAGAGTGCATGGAGGAGAATCCTGATAGTTTAGTGAATCAGGAAGTGCTCACACCCGGGCAGCTCTTCCTCATGTTTCTGAAGGTGGGTGCACACTGCTTTCCCCCGGGCCCCATTGTACCTCTGGATTGAGATGATAACACCCATGATGTAGTTTTGTGCATGTTCATAAGTTCTTGTTTTGGCAGTGTACATCTTCTCTTTTTTCTATTTGTTGTTTGTTTGCCTAGCAGGCAGGTACAGAATCAAACGTCCTAGCTTGTACCAGGTTCAAAAATGTCTGATATTTTCATGTAAGCTAAGTAAAGACAACATCAAATCTTGGTCAGACATTGATGATAAAGTGTAAGTGGCCTGTATGCATATAGTGACGGTCAGCCCTCCTTTGCAGAGTCCCTGTTACAAATTCCCCTCCTCACTGAGGTTTACTTGTAAGCCCAGTATCAGTATTCACAGCTTTCCTGGTCCTTTGCAGATGTGCTTGGAGGGGTAATAATTGGGGTGTCCTGATGCCCACATTCCCAGCTGAGGTCTAGGAGGTGATGCGCTGCCTTGCTTCAGCTAATGCTGTGAACGAGAGTCTATTTATTTAGTACCATGTTTTTCACATTTTTGTGTTTTTCTTGGTGATTTTGTTGTTAAAAAATGGCCCACAAGCATAGTGCTGAAGTGCTGTGTGAGGTGCTGAGCACAAGAAGGCTTGGATGTGCCTTACGAGAACATACGAGCGTTAGATGAGCTTTGTCAGTCACGAGTTACAGTGCTGCTGGCTGTGAGGCCGATGGTAGTACATCAGCAACATAAAACAAGGTATCTTTCAACAGAAACACACACAAAACCAGCTTACGTATTTCTCAGTTGACGAGAATGTTGTGACTTGAGACTTGGAGGAACCTAATCCTATCTGTACCTAGGAGCAAAGGTTTAGTACCTGCTAATTCAGTGTTCACAGCAACATTACAGAGCATAGTTAACTGTCAGTCACGAGAGCCGTGTGTGTGTGTGTGTGTGTGTGTGTGTGTGTGTGTGTGTGTGTAGAGAGTGTTGGCTTAGCACAGATCAGTTCATAAGTAAGTTCATTTGGTGGTATTTCATATTTTGAATATTATCCCTAAAATGATTTAATCTAATAGATAACATAGTGGGATAAAAGATGGAGAAGACTAAAGTAAAAATCTCCTAATTCCTTATTTAGTCAGTAATGCTTATTTAAATTCTTACTGAAAGATAAAAACTTTTGTTTCTGTCTGATCTAACCATGAAATTAAATTGAAAATTTTCAGCAGCCTAGAATTGCCCTGATAAAAATGAATATCAGGCAGAAGTTTTCTGTTATTGGTAATTTCAATATAGCCTTTCAAGTAAACATGTAATTTATTCATTTCAGGAAAAAATGGAAGCGTGGTTAGTATCTGTTAAAATAGGTATGGACAAGAAGGCTCAGAAGACCAATATGTCTATAAACAGTGAAAATTTGATGAAGATTTTAAGTCTGGGAATAGACCTTACAAAACCATTTGAGTATCTTCTTGCTACTGGGAATCTGCGTTCCAAAACAGGTGAAATTAAATAGATAGGCTTCAAAAAAATAGTCTTCATTTTAGTTTTGTTTTTCAAATTATTTGCTTAATGGAGGTTTATATCAGTAAGAGAGGTTCTATTTAAAAGCGAACTTTTCCCTTTCACTAAAGACATTTCACGTTATAAGTTTTGACAAGTATATATCAGTCTGAAGGGCTTTTGACAAGGTGCTGAATGGTTTAAATCCAATTCTGATGATCACATTTTCCTGTGCCTCCTAGAAAACTAAGGACAGCTCAGAGTTCTGTCTAAACCAGCCGTGGGCAAACTACGGCCCGCGGGCCGGATCCGGCCTGTTTGAAATGAATAAAACTAAAAAAAAAAAAAGACCGTACCCTTTTATGTAATGATGTTTACTTTGAATTTATATTAGTTCACACAAACACTCCATCCATGCTTTTGTTCCTGCCCTCCGGTCCAGTTTAAGAACCCATTGTGGCCCTCGAGTCAAAAAGTTTGCCCACCCCTGGTCTAAGCTAAAGATGTCTGAGGAAGGTCACATGGACAGGTGGTCTGAGAGGGTTCTTGTGTGGGCTCAGCCCTAAACCACTTGCATCAGAATGACTTAGAAAACTCAACTGTGGCAATTGGCCCAGAAATCTGCAGTTTTGAAATAGATGCTACTACTGATAAAGATTTTTTTAGAACTAACAACTGCTTGTGTGTTAATCAGCCTGTCTGATGAATCCCATTTAATTACTTGCTATTTTGTTTTTTGTTTACGGTTTCCCCACAGTGGAGGATGTGGAGGAAATAGGGAACCAGGCAAGGCTGATACAGTTTGTGAAATCTGGGGATTTTTACTACTTTTTGTACAGTATCCCTGCTCATCTGAGCTAGTGAACTTTGTAATCACCCACTCCATGACTTACAGTATGCTCTGAGGCTTTTCATCAGAGCCTCAAATAAAAATATACCTTTTTTTTTTTCAAGTTGAGCCCATTTTTGAATGACTTTTGTTTTATTAAGGTCTTGGCTTCCTGCAAAATTCTGGACTTTGTGTCGTGGCTGATAAGCTGAACTTCATCCGCTATCTCTCCCATTTCCGCTGTGTGCACAGAGGGGCCGACTTTGCCAAGATGAGGACCACCACAGTGCGCAGGCTGCTGCCGGAGTCTTGGGGTTTCCTTTGTCCCGTGCACACTCCTGATGGGGAGCCCTGCGGCCTGATGAACCACTTAACTGCCATATGTGAGGTGGTCACGCAGTTTGTGTACACAGCGTCTATTCCAGCTTTGCTCTGCAACCTGGGTATGTGACGGTACCATTCTCATTGTGTGTACGTTTTCACAGTTATGCTGCCTTGGGGGCTGAGCAGAGAATTCCTGCAGGAATTGATTTTACTCATCTGTGCAGGAACTGGGCTGGTTTCAAACAGCATTTAATATGGGGAATAACCTTTGGGTCATTCTCCCTGCACCTGTTGGGCCAGCCACTGCTCTAAGCTGGAAGCAGTGTCACTTTGCAGGAAGACAGTTAAAAAGGAGCTTGTCCACTCTGTACCTGGAGGTCCTCAGACCCACAGCCCTGTTCCTGGGAGCCTGGCGGCTGTCTCTGCTTTTGCTGGAAGGCTCTCTTACATGCTATTCTTTGGGTGTGGTGCTGGGTTCGGGTTCACCTTCACACATATGATGCCCTTTCTTTGGGCATTCTTCACTCTTGGGATCTGGAGACAGAGTTTTCTGTGTCTTTGCTGGTCTGAGTGGGGTCTCCATTGGAATTCGTATTTACACTCTAAAACTTCCAGTTCATAGGATTCAGGTGGTAGGCAATCCAAACAACCAGAAAGGCATTGAGTCAAGAGCCAGGAAATTTCTGCTTAAAAGTATTCCGCCAGTTAGATCGTGGCCTTTCAGAAGGAAATCCAACTAATTCAGAATTACTCGAGATTCAGAGGTCATAACCAGTGTAAAGTGCTGCAGGTCCTCTGTCCACGAGGGAAAAATGTTGTTCGCCACCAGTGATTAAAATGTCAGAGTGCAGGAAAGGGTAGAAAGGAGGAAAAACTGTGGAGAGGTGGAGAGTGTATCCCAAGCAGAAGCGATGGGAAGGGCTCTGGTCCGGGGGGAGACAGAATGGAAAATGCCTAACACCAAGCGCGTGACCTGTGGACTTGGTAAAACACTTGCTGTCTTGAGCAGGTGGATTATGGATTGTGGAAGAGTATCCTTTTTTACTTAATTACAGTTGGTTCTTGATGTTTGTGGTATTCTGTTTTACAAAGTCACAACTAACCCCGAATTTAGGGAAGAGCCATTGCTCCCAGGGGCGCCTCATTTAACGTTGTGATTCACTAACATCGGGGTCTCAGCCAGCAGCACTCAGCTTCTCTAACACGCACTCTTCCTGAGGCTTACACAGTCTGTGCTCAGCCACACTGGCCAGCGCAGAGTTCAGGGGCCGATTAAACAGTGAAACCGCCAACAGAAGGCACAAGCATGCCGTCCACGTGGCCCAGAGGACGCTTGTTGACAGTCTGAGCTGAGACAGGAAGACGTGTGACCATAGCTGGGAGCCTGTGTGCAGGGGATGCAGATTTTTCACAGAGTGGCCCCCAGAGCGCCTTTAGGTGTTGATACTGGAATCACAGACAATCTTAGCAAGTAGGCAAATTTGCAGATAGGGAATCTGAATAATGGCGATCAAGTGTAATTAGATTTTGGGGAAAAGTTATATTTACAACCCTCAGAAATGAACATAGAAAAGGTGCACAGTGAAAGTCTCCTTGCACTCCTGTCCCTGCTGCTCTCCCCACAGGCCAGGTCACTAGTTCTTGTGTGTCCTTGCTGAAATGATTTGGAAACTTAAGAAATGAAAAACATTCTGGTTTAGAGACAAGATAACTAGATATCTAAATGATGGTACAGCTGCAGACCTATCTGGAAGGAATTTCTAAGTTGGAAAAGGCATCCTGATGTGATGACACTGTCTGTTCCTTCCCCAGGGGTTACTCCAGTTGATGGAACGCCTCACCGACCTTACGCCGAGTGCTACCCTGTCCTGCTGGACGGTGTCATGGTTGGCTGGGTGGATAAGGAGCTTGCTGCTAGTGTTGCAGCTTCTCTCCGGCATTTTAAGGTGACCGTGAGTCTTTGTGAATTGCTCTATCCCTGGATCTTGGGTTTCAGTCCTTTTCTAGTTGATGAGGTAGTCCCAGGCAGTCTAGAGTGCTCATAGGCCTGGGGATCAGAAGCTCATTCCGAGAGTACCTGACATCCCCTGGTACTGACCTCATAGCCTCAGAGGTTGGGGTCAGTGGTAGATATTTCACCCATACACCTTTTTTTTTAGTAGTTTCACTGAGGCCCTAGTCTGCTAACCTAACCGATTTTAACTTTTTGTAAATTCTAGTGGCATGTAGGGGGCATCAAAATATGAATTTATATTTCAAGTAATGTTAAAGATATGCTAGATATGTAAGTCATACATACCCTGTTGCTATCTGGGTCTTGAAAATATATTTTTAAAAACTCAAGGAGAAGGACATTCTTTGGAATTTCCTCCTAACAAGAGTCTTGGCACAGAGAACTCCCGTATGCCCATTACCCAGATCCACCAATTATCATTTGTGGGCTCTTTATAAATATACTAGTAGCCTGGTGCATGAAATTCATGCATGAGGGGGAGGGGGGTTTCCTCAGCCCAGCCTGCACCCTCTCCAATTGGGGATATCCCTCTCGCAATCTGGGATCACTGGATCCTAACTGCTCACCTGCCTGCCTGATTGCCCCTAACTGCCCTCCCCTGCCGGCCTGATCTCGCCCCTAACTGCCTCTGCCTGCCTGATCACCCCTAACTACCCTCCCCTGCTGGCCTGATCTTGCCCCCCAACTGCCCTCTCCTGCTGGCCTGATTTCCCCTAACCTCCTGCCGGCCTGATCTTGCCCCTAACTGCCTCTGCCTCGGCCCCCACCACTATGGCTTTGTCCGGAAGGAAGTCAGATGTCCGTAAGATGGCCAGTTGACCCGGTCTAATTAGTATAGACTAGAGGCCCGGTGCACAAAAATTTGTGCACTTGGCGGGGAGGGAGGTGTCCCTCAGCCCGTCCTGTGCCCTCTCACAGTCTGGGACCCCTCAGGAGATAATGACCTGCTGGCTTAGGCCTGCTTCTGGGTAGCAGAGGGCAGGCCCAATCCCAAGGTGCAGCCCCTGGTCGGGCTCAGAGCAGGGCGGATCGGGAGGTTGTGATGCCACCCCTAGTCACGCTCAGGGTACAGCCGATTGGGGGGTTGGGGCACCGCCCCCTGTCACACTCAAGGCAGGGTTGATAGGGAAGTTGCGGCGTCACCCCCTGTCACGCACAGAGCAGGGCCAATCAGGGAGTTGGGGCATTCCCCCTGTCAGGCACAGAGCAGGGCCCATCAGGGGTGTTGGGGCTCCATACCCTGTCACACATAGAGCAGGGCCTATCAAGGGGTTGAGGAGCTCCCCCCTGTCACGCACAGAGCAGGGCCCATCAGGGGGTTGAGGAGCTCCCCCCTGTCACTCACAGAGTAGGGCTGATAGGGGAGTTGGGGCACCGCCCCCTGTCACACACAGAGCAGGGCAGATCAGGGGGTTGGGGCGCTGCCCTCTATCACCCACAAAGCAGGGTCGATCAGGGGGTTGGAGCGCCGCCACTGTCACACTCAGGGCAGGGCCGATGGGGAGGTTATGGCTCTACCCCGTCACACATAGAGCAGGGCCCGTGGGGGGGGAGGGTTGGGGCACCGCCCTCTATCACCCACAGAGCCGCAAGGCGATCAGGGGGTTGGGGAGCTCCCCCCTATCAGGCACAGAGCAGGGCCGATCAGGAGGTTGGGGAGCTCCCCCCTATCAGGCACAGAGCAGGGCTGATCAGGGGGTTGGGGCGCCTTCCCCTATCATGAACAGAGCAGGGCAGATAGGGAGGTTGTGGCCCTGCCCCCTGTCACACACAGAGCCGCAGGGCGATCAGGGGGTTTGGGCACTGCCCCCTGTCACGCTGATCTTAGTGCCGGGGGGCCTCGCGGCTCTGCTGATCCCAGTGCTGGGAGGCATATTACCCTTTTACTATATAGAATAGAGGCCTGGTGCACGGGTGGGGGCCGGCTGGTTTGTCCTGAAGGGTGTCCTGGATCAGGGTGGGGGTCCCTACTGGGGTGCCTGGCCAGTCTGGGTGAGCAGCTGAGGGCCGTTTTCAGGCTGGTGGGTGACTGAAGCTCCCAACTGCTCCTTTTTTTCTTTTTTCTTTTTTTTATTCTGGGCCAGCTTTAGCTCTGAGGCCTCGGCTGCTGAAAGCAGGTTTCTGGCCTTTTGTTTACCTTCTGTATTTGATACAATGTTGCAGTCCGGCTGGCTGAAGCCTGGCTGACTAATGCAGGTTTCTGGGGTTTTGTTTAGCTTCTATATTTGCAACATAGTTGCTTAAAGTTGCAGCTGAGAGGCCGGCAAGTCAGGCGGGGAACGTTGGAATCTGCAGTCACTGGAGCAAGCAAGCCTCCCTGTTTGCTTCAGTGCATGGCTGCCGGCCACCATCTTGGCTAGCAGTTAATTTGCATATCGCCCTGATTAGCCAATGGGAAAGGTAGTGGATGTACGGCTAATTACCATGTTTCTCTTTTATTAGATAGGATGTATATATTTTTTCTTCTGAACCATTTGAGGGTAGTGTGCAGACATGTCTCCATTTCCATAAAAATTTCAGTGTATTTTTTCTAACTTTTTCTCTTTAATAGCCTAATAGCCACAGTACACTTACCAAATTCAGGGAGGGTCAGTTTGCTAGAATCCATAGCTGACACTCAGATTACACCAGTTGCCTTAGTAATGGCCTTTATAGCTATTTTTTCTTCCGGGTCTGGGACCCACTCCAGAATCATGTGTTACGTGTAGTTGTCATGTCTCTGTTCTTTTTTATTCTGGAACAGTTCCTAGACTTTCATGTCTTGACTTTTTTTAAGAGTACAGGCCAGCAGTCAGAGAAAGACAGATATCACATGATATCACTTATATGTGGAATCTAATAAACAAAATAGTTCCAGAGGCATGGATGCATGGAACAGACTGACAGATCCGGGTGGGAAGGAGGGAAGGGGAAGAGGTTAACCAAAGAACTTCTATGCATAGCCCATGGGCACACAGTAGTTTGATGATGGCCTGGAGTGGTGCAGATGCTGGGGGAAGGGGGGTGGGGGGAATAGGGAGCATCTGTGTTACTGTCAACAATTAAAAATAAACTTAAAAAAAAAAGTAAAGGTAAGCTATTGTGTAGACTGTCCCTGAATTATGGTCATGTGTCACTTCCTCATGGCGAGATTCACAATACCATTTTCAGGAGGCATGTGATGTTGGCTTGTTCCATGACCAGTGATGTTAATGTCAATCACTTCACAGCTCTATTTTTTAAGTTAATCTACTGTACTGTTACAGATTTTCTCTCATCAGTAATTTGTGGAGAAATATTTGGAAGCCCTTTTCCTCATCAAATTTTCACCCACAATTTGTATTATATTCTCTGCAGAATTATTACTATTCCATTGATGAGTCTTTGCTGTGTTAATTATTACTGTTATGGTTGCCAAGTATTTGTTCTCTAACCCTATCATTTGTTCTGTTTGTTAGTTGCTGTTCTGTAAGGGAGAGCTTTCCTTTCTCCATTTATTTATTCATTTATTTACATTAGCAGATTTATAGATATTTGTTTTATTTTGTGAGTATTCTGTTACTATGATTTATTTTTATGTTCATACTAGAGGCCCAGTGCACAGATGCGTGCACCAGTGGGTCCCTCCGCCTGGCCTGTGGGGATTGGGCTGAAACCGGCAGTCCAATATCCCTCAAGGGATATAGTAGTGTGCGAAGCGGCTGGGGCCCGGCGCCGCACCACTCCTGCTCATCCTGGCCCCGCTGCGCCTGCCGCCATCGCTCAGTAGTGCTGCTGCAGAGACAGGAAAGGCACACGCCGCCACAGCTGTGCTCGCTAGCCATGAGCCCAGCGTCTGGTGTCTGTTGGTTAGCTGAGTGGCACTCCCACTGTGGGAGCACACTGACCACCAGGGGGCAACTCCTGCGTTGAGCGTCTGCCCCCTGGTGATCAGTGCACGTCATAGTAACCGGTCATTTGGTCATTTGGTTGCTTAGGCTTTTATATATATAGATTGTATCAGTTTGACCCCCTAGTCCCTGTAGGGTTGGTTTTGTGTTGTTTTTGTAAATATACGTAAAATTTAACCTTTTTCCGTAGCATTGAGTACATTCATATTGTTGTGCAACCATCACCCTATCCATCCTCCAAACTTTTGCATTGTCCAAAACTGAAACTTTGTGCCCATTCAGCAATAACTTGCCATCTGCCCTTTCCTGTTGGGGGCCAGATGTAAGCTGGCAAGGTCCTTGCACCTGAAGGGGCTAGCAAGGCTGGGACCCTTACCACACAGTTTTCCCAGACTTGTTTGGATGGCGATTATCAGTAGAATGAGAACAGCCTTTCATGGCTTACCAAGAAGTCTGTAACTATTTACTGAGATATGCTGTACTGAGAACTTGTCCTTCTGCTGTGTCTCTCCCTTAGAGATTAAGAGGAACAAAGAATACATTCCTCTTGACAGACCTCCTATTCAGTGTCTTGTGTATACATAGGATTGTGTGGTTAATAAACTTGCTTCAATTCCTCGAGAGCTGTAGTCCTCCCGATCCCGCTTTCCTGTCTTTCTTTTCTCAATTCCCACCTCCCTGCCTCAGCCCGGCTCAACCTGACAGGCTGGCCCTGACACTTTCCCAGCTCCTGGTAACCACATAGACCACATTGTGTTTATCCATCATCCATCAATGGACACTTGGGTTGCTTCCACCTTTTGGCTTATGTGAATCATGCTGCTATGAACATGGATGTGCAAATTTCTGTTTGAATCTGCTTTCAATTCTTTTGAGTGTATACCTGGAAGTGGAATTGCTGGATCATATGGGATTCTGTGTTTAATTTTTGGCATCTTTGAAGAGAAATTATAAGATTTTTTCCCCTTAGACAGATTAGGTGTATTATATTAATTTATTCCCTAACAATGATCATTCTCTGATAATAGCAATGAATAATGAGTCTTAAATTCCTGAAATAAATCCCACTTGGTCATGTTGTGTTATTTTTTTTTTAATCTTTATTGTTGAAAGTATTACATATGTCCCCCTTCTTCCCCCATTGACCCCTTCTAGCCTGTCCGCATTCCCCCCAGGCATTCACCACCCTATTGTCTGTGTTATTTTCTCTATTTAGGAAGTACTGATACTTTCTCAAATTTCAATAAGTTATTAAGATTTTTAGAATCAACATTTGTAAAGAATGCTCTGGAGCAGTACGGGAACATTGGGCCACCTGGTGGCAGGTCTGCGAGAATTCCCGTGAGATCATTTGGTTATGGTACTTGCTTTGAGGGTGCTTTCTTGACATCTTTATTTCTTTGTTTTTTTTAATCCTCACCTACGGATATTTTTTCCATTGCTTTTCAGAGAGAGTGGGAGGGAAGGTGGGAGGAGGAGAGAGAGAGAGAGAGAAACATTGATGTGAGAGAGATACATGGACTGGTTGCTTCCCACACATGCCCCAACTGGGGGCAGAGAGCAAAGCCACAACCCAGGTACATGCCTTTGATCTGGAATCGAACCCGGGACCCTTTGGTGCTCTGGCTAACACTCTAACCACTGGCCAGGGCTAGACACCTTTATTTCTTTATTTTTTCCTTTTTTTTTCTTCCCCTACCCCCCATAGACACCTTTATTTCTAATGTGGAAATCAGTCTTTAAGCTTTCTAACTCTGTTGAGGTTTCTTAACTTTTGATTTATGAATTTAATTCGTTTTTCATTCTTTCATTTTTTTATTGGTAATGTGTTTGTGAATCCCCACAAATTCTGAGATATAGGTCTTGTTATATGTTTTCAAATTTCCTGTAATTTTGGTTTGTATTTTTCCTTTCATCCAGGAGTTAATTAATAGAAGTTTGTTGTTGTTTTGCTTCTTAATTCCCAGGTAGAAGGGCCTTTTCATTAAATACATTTTAAAATAAAACCAGCCCTGGCTGGTTTGGTTCAGTGGTTGGGGCGTTGACCCACAGACCGAGGGGTCAGGGTTCAATTCTTGGTCAAAAGCTGGTGCCTCGGTTGCAGGTTTGGTCCCTGGCCCCAGTTGGGGTGCATGAAGGAAGCAACTGGTCGATGTTTCTCTCTCTCCCTTCTCCTCTCTCTAAAAATCAATGGAAAAAATATCCTTGGGTGAGGATGAAAACAAAACAAAACCAGTACTCTATAATTTAGACATCAGAAAACAGAATTTTGTTTAGTATGTCTACATGCACATTCTTTTTATTTATTTATTGTTTTTTTACAGAGAGGAAGGGAGAGGGATAGAGAGTTAGAAACATTGATGAGAGAGAAACATTGATCAGCTGCCTCCTGCACACCTCTTACTGGGGATGTGCCCGCAACCCAGGTACATGCCCTTGACCGGAATCGAACCTGGGACCTTTCAGTCTGCAGGCCGACGCTCTATCCACTGAGCCAAACCGATTAGGGCTACATGCACATTCTTGAGTTACCTTTCCCACAGTCTTAGTCTTAATTCATTACCAGTTTGCCTGATAGTGAGGCTGAGTCCCCAAGAAAGTAGAGCTTTTGCCAACTCTGGGTGTGGGGTGAATGGTATTCTCCGAGAAGATGAGACTGGCAGGGCACTATGTTTGTTACCTGCATAACGAACGTAAATTCTTAAGATCTACTTTTCATATTTGACCTCCTCCCCCATTCTGCCTGCTTCCGGGTGTCAGGGTAGATGTAAAACATATTAGTCATTCTGGTTTGAACTTTCTTTTTTGTTGAAAACAGGTGTTGAGAGAAAAAAGAATCCCTCCCTGGATGGAGGTGGCCCTTGTCCCCATGACAGGAAAACCAAGTCTGTACCCAGGACTGTACCTTTTCACCACTCCTTGTAGGCTGGTGCGGCCTGTGCGAAACTTGGAATTGGGCAAAGAAGAGCTGATTGGAACTATGGAGCAGGTATGTGGACTGTGTGTGGTGGGTATATGTGATTGTGTCATATACAACTTCCACAGACTTCAGCTGTTAATTATTATTATTATTTTTTTTGTTAATCCTCACCCAAGGATATTTTTTCCATTCGTTTTTAGAGAAAGTTGAAGGGAAGGGGAGAGACAGAGAGAGAAACATTGATGTGAGAGAGACACATCGATTGGTTGCCTCACACATGCGCCCTGACTGGGGCCAGGGATTGAACCTGCAACCCAGGTACATGCCCTTGACCAGAATCAAACCTGTGACCCTTCAGTCCACAGGCCTGTGCTCAACACTCTAACCACTGAGAAAAACTGGCTAGGGCAACTGTTGCTTTCTTTAAGTGTTACTGTTTAATAACAATTTGGCACTTGAAAGAAAGCCAGAACTACTTCTGCTTCCTCTGCCCAGCGGGAAGCAGTTTTCATGTGCCCCCTCACTCCGCCTACCATTGAGCCTGAGAAGGCTGGTGTCTCGTCACCTGCATCCCAAGCTCCTTCGGATGCTGAGGCTGGACCATTCCCTCATGCACAGTCTTTCCCTGCATCTTTGCAGTTGCAAAGCTCTGCACTTTGTACTACTTTAAAAATGTCTTTCTTTACTTCACTGGTTTGGCTCCGTGGATGGAGCACCAGCCCGTGGACTGAAAGGTCCCAGGTTTGATTCTGGTCAAGGGCACATAACTGGGTTGCAGGCTCAATCCCCAGTAGGGGGCGTGCAGGAGGCAGCACATGAGTGATTCTCGCTCATCATTGATGTTTCTCTCTCCCTTCCTCTCTGAAATCAAAAAAAGAATATATATTTTAAAAATAAAAATTAAAAAATGTCTTTCTTCAAATGCCTCTTCATAATTGGTCTAGGGTAGATTTATAATGAGGTATGAAAGGCAAGTGGTCGTTCTGACTGAGGCTTCCTGTGGGTCCCTTCAGTGTTCACTATACCAGGTGGGAAGGTTCCTTTCAAGTCTTTGAGTACTGAACTCAGAGAGAAAGAGTTAATGTGTTGGCATTCATCCTTCTGTCCAGCTCTTCATGAATATTGCCATCTTCGAGGATGAGGTTTTTGCTGGAGTGACCACCCACCAGGAACTCTTCCCTCACAGCCTGCTGAGTGTGATCGCCAACTTTATCCCTTTCTCCGATCACAACCAGAGTCCAAGGAACATGTACCAGTGCCAGATGGGTAAGTGGCATGGGGATGGTAGCAACCACACTTACAAAAGAGACATGTTTGTTACTTATTTTACTTTGAAATAATTTCAAATTCAGAAAAGTTGTGAGACTGGTACAGAGAACACCCATAAACCCTTTATCAACATTTTGTTAATATTTTGGTCTGTTTGTACTGTTTCCATTTGAAGGTAAGTTGCAGGCTTGATGCCCCTTTACCCCTAAATATTTCAGTGTCTATATCTAAATAAGGATGTTCACTTGTATAAACAAGGACAATTAAAATCAGGAAATTTAAAATTGGTATTATACTTTTTTAAAAATATATATTTTTATTGATTTCAGAGAGGAAGGGAGAGGTAGAAACATCAATGATAAGAGAGAATCATTGATTGTCTGCTTCCTGCACACCCTGGGGATCGAGTCTGCTACCTGGGTATGTGCCTTTGACTGGAATCGAACCCAGGATCCTTCAGTCTGCAGGCCAACACTCTATCCACTGAGCCAAACCAGCAAGGGCTTATCATACTACTTTATGGGTCTGATTCAGACTTTGACCAGTTGTACCAAAAATAGGGGGTTTTTGTTTGTTTTGTTTTTAATATATTTTTATAGATTTCAGAGAGGAAGGGAGAGGGACAGAGAGATAGAAATATCAATGATGAGAGCGTCATTTATCAGCTGTCTCCTGCACACCCCCTATTGGGGATCAAGCCTGCACCCTGGGCATGTGCCCTGACAGAATCAAACTGTGACCTCCTGGTTTATAGGGCAATGCTCAACCACTGAACCATACTGGTTGGCCATAAATAGGGTTTCTGGCAATTTTTTCTGTGTAGCACCTAGTCCAAAATCAAACATTGTATTCCGTTGTCTCTTTAATCTTCTTTAAGTTAGAACATAACTTTAGTCTTTCTTTGTCTTTCTTGTTATTGACACTTTTGAAGAAAGGTAATTTTGTAAATGTTCAATGACTTGGGTTGGTCTGAGATCTTGAGATTCCATTTTTGACAACTACAGGCCGTCCACGTCATTTTCTCTCCAGTGCTGTTCATTCCTGCCTGGTAGTACCACACTATTGCTAGTGCTTATTCAGATTTGACTAATTGTATCAAATACATGGTTTCATTTTCCTGGAGTGTAATTTCCCTTAGGCCTGAAAACTTTCTTTAGCATTTGTCACTGTTGCCAGTTGATGGCTAAAATTTTCTTAGTTTTTATTGCTTTGAAATATCTTTATTTCCTCTTCCCTTGAAGGAACTAGGTATACAATTCTGATTTGACAAGATTTTTTTCTGGCACATGAAATACTCTGAGCTGTGTACTCTTTTTTTAATCCTCACAGAAGGGTATTTTTATAGAGAGAGAAACATCGATAGGCAGTCTCCCATATTCACCCTGACCAGAGATCGAACTCGCAACCTAGGCATGTGCTCCAGCAGGAAATCAAACTTGCAACCTTTGGTGTATGGGACAACGCTCCAATCAACTGAGCTATCTGGCCAGGCTAGCTGTCTACTCTTGGTCTCTGATTTCTAATTAGAAGTCGTCAGTTTTAGGTTGTTTCCCTGTTTTTAAGTTTTATTTTTTTCTCTGTCCTTAAGATTTTCTCTTTATTTTTAGGTTTGTAACAGAATGGCTATGGTATGCCTACATATGATTTTCCTTCTTATATCTGTTTGTTTGTTTGTTTGTTTGTTTTAAATTTGTAAAGTTTTCTGCCATTGTTTCTAAAAAATTGCTGCTGTCCATTCTGTCTCCTGAGATTTCAGTTATGCAACATGTATGTGAATCATTGCTGTCCCATCAACCATTGGTTTCTTTTCTCTTTTTTTATCTTTTTATCTTCACATTGAATCATTTTTATTCATCTGTCATCATATTCAGACTTTTTATTCTATTTCAGAGTCCAGAGTGCAAACCATTACACCATAGAACCACCATATTATTTCAGATAGTTCATTTTCTAGCCTAAAATTTCCATTTGTTTCTTTTTTATAGTTTTAATTTTCTCTAGAATTTCATCTTCATTGTGAACATATTTTCTTTTATATCTTTGAGCAGTTATACAACCAGTGTTTTAAAATAATTGTCTATTAATTCCAATGTCTGGGTCATCTCAGGATGTCTCCATTCACTGCATTTTTTTCTTGAGTATGGGTATTGATTCTCTGTCTTTTATATCTAGTAATATTGGATCATATCATGGACATTGTGAACAAGTGATATGTTTTGAAGACCATGGATTCTGTTATGTTCCTTTGAAGAGGATTGGTTTTTAGATTTAACTGATAGATAACTTAGCTAAACAAAGCAGCTGAAGTCACTTTTGAGGGCTGCTTGGAAATGTTCCATGTATGTATAATTCAGGACTCCACCAAAGATCTGGGATTGGTTCATATGCAGAATTTAAGGCTTTCCCTGTGTGGTTCTCTCCTTTCTGAAATCCCTACCCTCCCTCCTGCCCCCCCCCCCCCTCAGTTTTTAGTTGCTGTAGTGCTGTGAACTCTTTTTTTTTTTTTTTAATATTTTATTGATTTTTTACAGAGGAAGGGAGAAGGATAGAGAGTTAGAAACATCAATGAGAGAGGAACATCGATCAGCTGCCTTCTGCACATGCCCCACTGGGGATGTGCCCGCAACCGAGGTACATGCCCTTGACCGGCATCAAACCTGGGACCCTTCAGTCCACAGGCCGATGCTCTATCCACTGAGCCAAACAGGTCAGGGCAGTGCTGTGAACTCTTATGTTTCTTGGTTCTTAAAGCCAGTCAGACTATGAGTTTCTGCCCAAGTTTTAGCCACTACACGGGGCCATTAGGCAAAAAAACAAACAAACCACAGAACAAAACCTGACCTGGAAATTCACCCATTGCAGTTTCTTTTGCCCAAATGTAAATTCCTCTCTAGTTTCTGACTGATTTTGGTTACTTTACAGTACTTTCAGGTGGTGTATATATTTGTTTGTAGTTACTTTTTTTTTTCCCTGGGTCTTATGTGCTGAGGGTGGTTGTGAAGAAGGAACCCTCTACAACTGGAAGCTGGAAGTCTCTGTTTCTATATTTTAAAGAATTCCACTAGGCATGTATATTTATTTTAGTTTTTAAAATCATTTTGGTCGAGCCTTGGCCAGTGTGGCTTAGTTGGTTGAGTGTCCTCTCATGAACCCAAAGATTGCCAGTTCAATTCCCAGTCAGGTTACATGTCCAGGTTTTGGGCTCAGTCTCCAGTAGGTGGTGTACAAGAGGCAGCCAATAGATGTTTTGCGCTCATGTCGATATTTCTCTCCCTCCCCGTGTCTTCCTCTCTCTCTAAATATCAATTTTATAATCTTTTTTTAAAAAATCATTTGTGTTGAATTGATTCTCTGTACTGAGAAGTGGAATAAAGAAGACTCTTACCTGCCCCCTGTATGCCAGTACCCAGAATTAACAAATAGTGATATTTTGTTTTGTGTGTAAGAAAGTAATTAGAGCTCTAACCAGTTTGGCTCAGTGTATAGAGCGTTGGCCTGTGCACTGAAGGGTCCCAGGTTGCATTCTGGTCAAGGGCACATGCCTGGGTTGCGGGCTCGATCCCCATTGTGGAGCGTGCAGGAGGCAGCCAATCAATGGTGTTTCTCTCATCATTGATGTTTCTATCTCTCTCCCTCTCCTTTCCTCTCAAATCAATAAAAAAATTTTTTTAAGTTATTAGATAATAGCTACTCTCCCCTTATACCCTTACTCTTCCCCAGTAACATCCTTCTTTTATTATATACTAGAGGCCCAGTGCACAAAAATTTGTGCACGAGGGGGAGGGGTCCCCCAGCCCAGCCTGTGCCCTCTCGCAGTCTGGGACCCCTCAGGAGATAACGACCTGCTGGCTTAGGCCCGCTCCCGGGTGGCAGAGGGCAGGCCCAATCCCTAGGTGCAGCCCCTGGTCAGGCTCAGAGCAGGGCCGATTGGGGAGCTGGGGCACCGTCCCCGGTCATGCACAGAGCAGGGCAGATCGGGAGGTTGCGATGCCACCCTCAGTCACGCTCAGGGTACAGCCGATTGGGGGGTTGGGGCACCGCCCCCTGTCACACTCAAGACAGGGTCAATGGGGAGGTTGCGGCACCACCCCCTGTCACGCACAGAGCAGGGCTGATCAGGGGGTTGGGGCGCTAACCCCCTGTCACTCACAGAGCAGGGCCGATAAGGGGGTTGAGGAGCTCCCCCCTGTCACAGAGTAGGGCCTATAGGGGTGTTGGGGCACCGCCCCCTGTCACACACAGAGCAGGGCGGATCAGGGGGTTGGGGCGCTGCACCCTGTCACACTCAGGGCAGGGCCAATGGGGAGGTTATTGCTCTACCCTGTCACACACACAGCAAGGCCCGTGGAGGGGGGTTGGGGCGCCACCCTCTATCACCCCACAGAGCAGCGCTGATCAGGGGGTTGGGGCGCCGCCACTGTCACACTCAGGGCAGGGCCGATGGAAGAGGTTATGGCTTCTACCCTGTCACACCACAAAACAGGGCCCGTGGGGGGGGGGGGGGGCGCCGCACCCTGTCACACACACAGCAGGGCCGATCAGGGGGTTGGGGCACCGCACCCTGTCAAACACAGAGCCGCAGGGCGATCAAGGGGTTGGGGAGCTCCCCCCTATCAGGCACAGAGCAGGGCTGATCAGGGGGTTGGGGCGCCTTCCCCTGTCACGAACAGAGCAGGGCGGATCAGGGGGTTGGGGCACCGCACCCTGTCACACACAGAGCCGCAGGGAGATCAGGGGGTTTGGGCGCTGCCCCTGTCACGCTGATCCCGGTGCCAGGAGCCTCGCTGTTCCGCTGATCCCGGTGCCGGGAGGCATATTACCCTTTTACTCTATAGAATAGTGGCCTGGTGCACGGGTGGGGGCCGGCTGGTTTGCCCTGAAGGGTGTCCTGGATCAGGGTGGGGGTCCCCACTGGGGTGCCTGGCCGGGCTGGCTGAGGGGCTGAGGGCCGTTTTCCGGCTGGCGGGTGACTGAAGCTCCCAACCACTCCTTTTTTTCTTTTTTATTCTGGGCCAGCTTTAGCTCTGAGGCCTCGCTGCCGAAAACATTAATACAATGTTGCAGTCCGGCTGGCTGAAGCCCGGCTGTCTGAAAACCGGTTTCTGGGGTTTTGTTTAGCTTCTATATTTGCAACATAGTTGCTTAGAGTTGCAGCTGAGAGGCCGGCAAGTTAGGCAGGGAACGTTGGAGTCCGCCATCACTGGAGCAAGCAAGCCTCCCTGTTCACTTCAGTGCATGGCTACCGGCCGCCATCTTGGCTGACAGTTAATTTGCATAAGGATATGCTGATTAGCCAATGGGAAGGGTAGCGGCTGTACACTAATTACCATGTTTCTCTTTTATTAGTGTAGATGTGTCCATAAACCAGGTATAGAATTGTTTGGGGTGTGTTATATAGATATACATAAATGGTATCATATTAAATGAGTTTCTGTCCTTTTTCCCTCTCAGCACTGTTTTCATGATCTGGTTGTGATACATGCAGGTTTGTTCATCTTCACACTATAAAGCATAACCACCATGACTGATCTGTTCATTCCTCTATGGTGAATATTTAGTTGCTCCCAATTTTAAATATCACCTTTATAATCAAGGGAAAAACAAAAGGCTAAGGTGTTTTTCCCTTTGTAGGTAAACAAACTATGGGCTTTCCACTTCTCACTTATCAAGACCGATCCGATAATAAGCTGTATCGTCTTCAGACCCCACAAAGCCCTTTGGTGAGGCCGTGCATGTATGATCACTATGACATGGACAACTATCCAATTGGGACCAATGCCATCGTTGCTGTTATTTCTTACACTGGCTATGATATGGAAGATGCCATGGTAAGTTTTACCAAGAGTAGTTCCATTCTTTTAATATTTAATTTTAAAAGTTAACTTTACTGTGTGGTCACTGTGTCCTCAAGTGCCTAGTATTTGTTGAGTGAGTGTCCTGTTAAATGGTCAGTCCCTACTCTGAATGAAAAGTGGTAGCCTTGAGGGTTATGAACTAAATATTCATATATGCATATTTCATGTATATCGCCTGTATAGTTGAATAAATGTCGAGTGAATATAAAGTAGTGTTGGATATTTTTACCTTTTGTGTTTGTTCACGATTGGGGTTTGGACTATTTAATTATAAATTAAGTGCTTGAGCCGAAACCGGTTTGGCTCAGTGGATGGAGTGTTGGCCTGTGGACTGAAGGGTCCCAGGTTCGATTCCGGTCAAGGGCATGTACCTGGGTTGCGGGCACATCCCCAGTGGGAGATGTGCAGGAGGCAGCTGATCGATGTTTCTCTCTCATCGATGTTTCTGGCTCTCTATCTCTCTCCCTTCCTCTCTGTAAAAAATCAATAAAATATATTTTAAAAAATAAATAAATAAATAAATTAAGTGCTTGGGTTTTAGTAGTGTAGGTGACTGAGAAAAGGTGGATAGATTTTAAATCGAATGCCAGGTAACCTAAACCAAGTATAATTATGACCAGTCTTATTTTGAAAAATCTTCATTTTTCTGCACTTCCTTGATTCTTTGACTTCATAGATTGTGAATAAGGCTTCTTGGGAACGAGGTTTTGCCCATGGAAGTGTCTACAAATCTGAGTTCATAGATCTCTCTGAAAAAATTAAACAAGGAGATGATAGTCTGGTGTTTGGAGTCAAACCTGGTGACCCTCGGACTGTGCAGAAGTTAGATGAGGATGGATTGCCATTTATTGGAGCACAGCTGCAGTATGGAGATCCCTATTACAGCTATGTAAACCTCAACACTGGCGAGAGCTCTGTGATGTTCTACAAGTAAGTTGCAGTGCCAGGTGCTCATTTTAAAGGCTATTCTTAGTGAATTGCTGGGGGCTGTTGAAAGTAATCTTTTAACAGGACATTTTTGGAGAAAAAAGAAGTGATAGTTGTTATTGACTCAATCGTAACTGAATTGGCATTTACAAAATGAAACAAAGTTTGCTGTCATACTCCCTTTGCTTTTCTACTTGTCAGTCTCTTATAATTGGTGAGAGTTCTCCCGGCTTATTTTTAAAAGTATATTATTGAGACTTGATCATCTCTCTCATGCATGTTAGGAATATTTCCCGGCTAAAATTTTATTATACCCCCTGTTAAAAATAAATTTTTAGCTTATTTTACATCTGTAAGAGTGGATTCAACAGTAGATCTTCATAATCTATAATAAAAGTGTAATATGCAAATCGACCGAATAGCCAAATAGTGGAACGACGGTCCGGACACCCTTCTGGACGAAGCCGGGGCTGCGAGGGCCTACTCTTGCATGAATTTTGTGCACCGGACCTCTAGTCTATAGTATATATAAAAGCCTAAGCAACAAACAACCAGTTGCTATGATGCGCACTGACTACCAGGGAGCAGACGTTCAATGCAGGAGCTGCCCCTTGGTGGTCAGTGCACTCCCACAACGAGAGCTCTGCTCAGCTGACCAACCCTTCCCAGCAGCCCACCAGCCCAGTAGCAGCCACTCGCTCCCTCAGTAGTCCTGCAGGTCCGATCTCCAGAGAATGGGCCAGGCACCAATGGATTGGCGCTGCTGGCACAATCTCGACAGTGCTGCAGGCCTCCTGGAAGTCAGCCTCAGGCACCGCGGCTGCTTCCCCTCCCTAGACATTCTGGAAGGAAGAAACGATATAAAAGTGGCCATTAGGTGACTCACAACAACTGGCATGAAAACTGGCGTGAACGTCAGTGGGACAGATCCAGATCCTGATCCTGGGCCGGCAAGGGCTTCCTACCACCCGCCCAGAGGGCCGATCGCATCTCGGCTCCCCGCCCACCCCCCTCGGGATGGGCGCCAGATGCAGGGCTCACAACTGGCAAGCACTGCTGCTGCAGTGTGAGCCTCTCCCGATTGGGACTGACTGGGCCCGAACCTGCGGCAGGGACAGTGGGGTCAGAATGAGTGGGAGCAGCAAGTAGCGTTGGACTGCTGGTTTGGGCCCGATCTCTGCAGGCCACCCTGAGAGACCCCACCTGTGCATGAATTCGTGTACCAGTCCTTTAGTACTTTCATAATAGTTGTTCAGAGGAACAGAGTTCTGTAGTTAACATAACCAGCAGCCCTATTCATAGATACTTCCAGGGAAAAGAAAGATGAGACTGTTTTTTGAATCCTTTATAAAGCACTAGTTATATATAAAACTTATATGCCTCTATAAGCTTAAAGAAATAGTTTGACCTTTTATATGGTTTAATTTTTCCTAGGAGTAAAGAAAATTGTATTGTGGACAACATCAAAGTGTGTAGTAATGACACTGGAAGTGGAAAATTTAAATGTGTTTGCATCACGATGAGAATCCCTCGGAACCCAACCATTGGAGACAAGTTTGCCAGCCGGCATGGGCAGAAGGGCATCCTGAGCAGACTGTGGCCAACCGAGGACATGCCCTTCACCGAAAGTGGGATGGTCCCAGACATTCTGTTCAACCCTCATGGGTTCCCATCCCGAATGACTATTGGTATGTTAATCGAGAGCATGGCGGGCAAGTCTGCAGCTCTGCATGGTCTCTGCCATGATGCCACACCCTTCACCTTTTCAGAGGAGAACTCGGCCTTGGAGTACTTTGGTGAGATGTTGAAGGCTGCTGGCTACAACTTCTATGGCACTGAGAGGCTGTACAGTGGCATCAGTGGGGTGGAACTGGAAGCAGATATTTTCATTGGCGTGGTTTATTACCAGCGGTTGCGCCACATGGTCTCAGACAAATTCCAGGTCAGAACCACCGGAGCCAGAGACAGAGTCACTAACCAGCCCATCGGGGGGAGAAACGTCCAGGGTGGGATCCGTTTTGGGGAAATGGAGAGGGATGCTCTGTTAGCTCATGGAACTTCTTTTCTCCTTCACGACCGCCTCTTTAACTGTTCTGACCGGTCGGTAGCCCATGTGTGTGTGAAGTGTGGCAGTCTGCTCTCTCCGCTGTTGGAGAAGCCACCCCCTTCATGGTCTGCCATGCGCAACAGAAAATACAACTGTACTGTGTGCAATCGTAGTGACACTATCGACACTGTCTCTGTGCCTTACGTTTTTCGGTATTTTGTAGCTGAACTGGCAGCTATGAACATCAAAGTAAAACTGGATGTCATTTAATTGATGTGGCCTTTTGGGTTAGGTGATCTGTCAGATTAAAACAAAATGTAACTTCAGTAAAGATGTTACCCTGAAATTTTTTTCAAGGTTGTGACAGCCCTCAACCAAGACCTGGCAAATAAGAATTCAAGGTTCTGAGTCTTTCTGGTATAATAGCCAGTGAAATTGATTTCCACTGTATTTGTTCGAGAAAACGTTACATTGAGGAATAAAATATATAGGGAAGTTCCCAACCCCAGGGTCTTAGTATGCTGCTCTCAGTAGATGGTGACTATCACTGATTGTCCCTCCAGAACAGGGGTGGGGAACCTTTTTTCTGCCAAGGGCCATTTGGATATTTATAACATCATTTGCAGGCCATAAAAAATTATCAACTTAAAAATTAGCCTGCTATATTTGGTCAAACAATTAACTCACCCCTAATGCCTTGGGAGGGCCAGACTAAATGATTTCGAGGACCTTATACAGCCTGAGGGCCCAATGTTCCCCACCCCTGCTCTAGGTCACCATCCGGTGGCCCGAGAGGTCTGAAAGGTTGGCAACTGCTGCTCTAGAGCATTGTCCATCTAGAGTCCCAACATGATGCAGGCCATGTGTGTGATTTTGTATTTTCTAATGTCCATGTTAAAGTGAAAAAAGGTGGAAATATTTTTTAACAATTTTATTGAAATATACTAAACCCAGCCCTAACTGGTTTGGCTCAGTGGATAGAGCGTCAGCCTGCGGACTCAAGAGTCCCAGGTTCGATTCCGGTCAAAGGCATGTACCTTGGTTGTGGGCACATCCCCAGTAGGGGGTATGCAGGAGGCAGCTGATCGATGTTTCTCTCTCATCGATGTTTCTAACTCTCTATCTCTCTCCCTTCCTCTCTGTAAAAAAATCAATAAAATATATTAAAAAAAAAAAAAAAGAAATATACTAAACCCAGATTGTAGGTTTTAACCTCAGTTGGGGTTTGTGCAGGAGGCAACTGATTGATGTTTTTCTCTCTCTCTCTCTTAAATCAAAAACATACTTAAAAAAACAAACACTGCACATCTTTATTGTATATAGTTCACCATCCGGGGTAATAAACATCACCTCTGAAAGCTTCCTGTGCCCCTTTGGGTTGTTTTGGTTTTTTATTTATTACTAGAGGCCCAGTGCACGACATTCGTGCATTCGTGGGGTCAGGAGAGGAGGCAATGGTCACCGGGGCAGGCGTCCTGCCACCTCGAGGTTCCCCGTCTCCACTCCTTCCCTTGCCACCGCACCACCACCACAGTGGGTGGGCAGGCAGCCCCTGGGGAAGGGAGAGTTTGGGAGTGAGATCCTCCTTCCCTCTCCGCTGCGCTGGCACTGTGGCAGGTGGGTGGGCGGCCCCCAAGGAAGGGAGAGGACAGGAGTGAGACAAACCCTTGTGTTGAGGGCTAGCCTTCAATAGATCAGAGCGAGGGAGCTGCTCTGCTAGTATGAAACCCCGACTCAGAAGCAGGTCATCTACAAATGGTTTAGCACCAGGGGTTGATTGGGGTTGGCCGCAGGGACCATGGCAGTTTGCTGGCCATAGGAGGTTGGCTGTGGGAGCACACTGACCACCAGGGGGCAACGCTTAACACAGAAGCTGCCCACAGGCCCCATGCCAGCCAAGGCAGGTGCCAGCAGGGTCCCATCGCCCCACTGGTCACCCTGCAGAGAGGGGGGCAACAGGTGGGGGCGGGGCCCGCAAACAGGTGGCACTAGGCCTGCCAAGGCAGGTGCCAGTGGGGGGCCCCAATAGCCCAGCCAGTCGCCCCACGGATCGGCCCTGATCGCCAGCCAGGCCTAGGGACCCTACCCATGCACTAATTTCGTGCATCATGCCTCTAGTAATTATACAAATAGAAGCATAGTTTGTGACCTTCTGAGATTGGCTTTTTCCACTCAATTGCTTGAGATGCATTGAAGCTGTTGGATATATCAGTTGTTCATTCCTTTTTGCTGCTGTATGGCTATGCCAGTGTGTTCAACCAGTTACCTGTAGGAGCACATTTTGGTTGTTGCCAGTTTTTGGTGTTTACAAATAAAGCTGCTCTGAAAACTCATGTACAGTTTTTGTGTGAACATACATTTATCTGGGACAAATGTCTAAGAATTAAATTGCCATGTGGTGGTGGTGTGTTGTCTTAGAAGAAACTGCCAAACTGTTTCAAAGTGGCTGGACCATTTTACATTCCCATCAGCAATGAATGAGATCGATCGTTTCTTCCACATCCTGACAGGCACTTGATAGTGCTCCTGTTTTATTTAGGCTGTTCTGACAGGTGTGTAAATGATGTCTCAGTGGGGTTTTAATTCGCATATCTCTAATGGTTGACAATGTTTAACATCATCTTTTCATGGGCTTTTCTGCATTTATATCTACTCAGTGAAATGTATCTTTTGCTCATTTTTTTAAAATATATTTTTGTAGATTTCAGATAGGAAGGGAGAGGGAGAGATAGACATCAATGATGAGAGAGAATCATTGATCAGCTGCCTCCTGGAGGCCCCCTACTGGGGATCGAGCCCACAACCTAGGCATGTGCCCTGACCTAGAATGAATTGTGACCTTCTGGCTCATAGGTTGACGCTCAACCACTGAGCCACACCTGCTGGGCATGTGCCATTTTTGTCACACATTTTATCTATACATATGTGATGAACCCCATAATACATTATTACCTTTGCTCTAAGCAATTATCTTTTCAAGAAATTTATAAACTAGAAGCCCAGTGCACAAAAATTTGTGCACTCGGGGGGAGGGGGTCTCTCAGCCCGGCCTGTGCCCTCTCACAATCTGGGACCCCTCGGGGGATGTCCACCTGCTGGCTTAGGCCCGCTCCTTGGGGGATTGGGCCTAAGCTGGCTGTCAGACATCCCTCTGGCAGCACGGGAGCCCTCGTGGAATGTCCACTTGCCAGCGGCGAGCAGGCCTAGCTGCAGTCGCACATCCTTAGTGCTGCTGAGGAGGCAGGAAGTGTGGCAGTCTGCTCTCAGTAGATGGTGACTATCACTGATTGTCCCACCACCACCACTGTACTGGCAGCTGTCAGCCTGGCTTGTGGCTGAGCAGAGCTCCCCCATGTGGGAGCGCACTGACCACCAGGAGGCAGCTCCTGCATTGAGCGTCTACCCCCTGGTGGTCAGTATGTGTCATAGTGACCAGTCATTCCCAGTCGTTCTGTTGTTAGGGTCAATTTGCATATTACCTTTTTATTATATAGAATTACTTAATAACATCACATTTACCATGTCTGACGACATTTATATACTGGACTTCTACCTCATGGCGTTTTTCTTCAACCTTCAGGGCTTATTTCAGTGTTTCTGTAGCATTCTTAAGCTTTCTTAGGTGGGATGGGGGCAGCCATCAGGCCTAATTGTCAGCTGTGCTTCTGACCAACTAGCTATAGATTGAATACCTCCTTGGGTTCAACTAATTTGCTAGAATGGCTCACAAGACTCAGAAACATTTTACACACTAGATCACCAGTTTACTATGTAAGAATATAACTTAGGGCCCTGCTGCGTAGCTCAGTTGGTTAGAGCATTGTCCCGATATGCCAAGGTTTCAGATTCTATCCCCAGTCAGGGCACATAAAAGAATCAACCAATGAATGTATAAACAAGTAGAACAACAAATTGATGTTTCTCTCTCCCCCTTTCTCTAAAATAAGTAATTTTTTTAAAAAGACTATTTAAAAAAAGAAGCAACCAATGAATGCATAAATAAGTAGAACGACAAGTTAATGTTTCTCTAGAATCAATTAAAAAACGTAAAAGGCCCTGAGCAGTGCACTCAGTGGTTTTACTGTCGGCCCAAGTACCAGCCGGGGTACATGTGAGAGGCAACCAGTAGATGTTCTCTCTGGCACCAACATCTCTGTCTTTCTACTTTCCCTCCTTCCACTCTGAAAAGCTATGGAAAAAAATATCCTCAGGAGAGGATTAACAACAAAAAACAAACAAAAAAATGTAAAAGTATATGACTTGGGAAGAAATAAAAAGGGCAAGGTCTGGGGACAGCTTGGAGCTGCCACGCTCTGAGTGTGCCACTCACCAACCCAGAAGCTCCACAAACGATTTGGGGTTTCTATGGCGGCTTCATTCCTTAGGTGGGGCTGATTACACCACTTCCAGCCCCTCTCCCCTCCGTGATGCCAGGGGGGTGAGACTGAAAGTTCCAACCTCTAGTCACAAGGCTGGTTCTGGAGACCAGCCCCCCTCCTCAGTGAGGTCCAAAAGTCACCTCAATAACAACAAAAGACCAACCTCTGTTGGTCTCATCGCATGTGAAATCCCAAGGGCTTTAGGAGACTTGTGCCAGGACCAGCAGATGAAGATCAAATATATATTTGTTAAATATATATTTGGTCACTCTCCCAACACTTCCCCTTCCCTTCCCAGAATGATCACTCTCCTGGTGAATGACCATCACTAGTGTGTTTTTCGTGTTTATTTTGGTAGTTGTCTGTCCCTCCGCTAGCATGCTCAGCTCCAGGGTGATATTTCTTTCTAGTGCCAAGACAGCAAATTCAGTCCACCACTCCTCTGCCCACCCAGACTGTGTGGGGACCCACCAGTGACGCGGAGACAATACAAGGCTCAGATCTGCTTCACCCCAAACCCCGGGACACCGACGTCTCCCTTACACTCGATCTCCAGGGAACCACAGCCCAAAGGCGTCCAGAAGTCTGGGGGCTCAAGGCAGCTCCCCTGCTGGGTCTTCAGGGAACCTCCTTACAAGCCCAGCCACATGCCTCCCGTGGGGCGCCCGTGAGCTGGGCTTCGGGATGATTCGGGGACAGGACGTGGGGCCGGCTGAGGACATCTGAGGTCACAGAGGAGAGTTCTATTCCTCCCTGTCCGCCCAGGAAAGGCCACCGGAAGGCTGTGCGGGAAAGAGAACGCAGGGGGCGAAAGGTTTTCCTTTGGCGCGCGTGGCTCCAGATCCGGGTCACGTGGCCGGCTCAGGTGTCAGCTCGGGAACGGCTCCTGCACTGGCGCAGACTAAGCCTGTGTGGGGGGGGGGGGGGTGTCACTGTTACACCCCAGTTCCAGAGCCGCGCACGTCGAGGCCCCGGCTGTCTGATTCACGGTCAGGGCAGTCGGTCTCTGAAACGCGTGTGCTCCTCTGGCCAGAGCCGGGGGCGTTCTGCGTGCTCCCGGGGGGACGGCGCCCCACTGGAACACAGGCCCGGCCGCCCGCCGCAGAGGCGCGGGTCCAGCCCCACCTCACTCCCCGGAAGCCTCGCCGCACCGGGAGGAATTGCAGAGGAGCCCGGTGGGAACTCACGCCCGCAGGTGGCGCAGACCCGGCCCGGCTCTGGGGCGCGCCCCTTCCCGCCGGCTCCCCGCAGGCGCCCGAGCCAGCGCTCCGAGAGGACCGACTGCGTAAGGCCAAGGCCGAGCCGCGAGCGGCCCGAGTTGAGGGTCGGCAGCAAAGGGCAGGCGCGGGCCACTAGTTTTCCAGTCGGGTCCGGCCCCACAGGGGTTCGCACTGCTGAGCGCCACTCTTTCCTTGGTGCGGAGGCACTGCGGTACTTTCCCATATTTACTTCCGGTGCAGTCTGGAAGTCGCCTGGGAAAGCCGGAAATAGGGTTGTGGCCACTGAGCGGGCCGGAGTCGGAAGTGGCTAGCAGGGCGCCGCCATGACAGGTCGGGGCGGAAGCCGGGGTAGGGCGCCGCCATGACAGGTCGGGGCGGAAGCAGAGGTAGGGCTCCACTCTGACGGACTGGCGCCAAAAGCAATAGGGCCGCTTGGCCGCTGTGTGAACGGAGTAAACAAGGCAGGGAGGGCGCCGCCAAGACAACCTGACACCGGAAAAGGCGGGACTCTCCTCCGGACTGTTTCTCCCGGCACCTGCCTCGACATGTGAGTAGCAGGAGCACCTTCCCTTTACCTTACGCGCACACCTTCTTGTATGTGACCCGGACCTAAGTCGGAATCCGGGAGGAGAGGTGGTCTCTGTTCCTTGAACCTCCGGACTCCGCGCCGTCACCCCTCCCAGCGCGTCCAAGCCCCGCCCCCCTCCTCCTGGGAAGAGAGGACTCTCACACCCAGGCAGCTTGCAGGACTCAAGGCCCGGCCTCAGAGCCCCACGTTCCGCCCCCGGGTCACCCCACCTTCTCTCTTGAGTCGAACCCGGGCCCAGCCCTACCTGGCGCTTCCAGATCGTGTCCTGAGGACCCTGACCCATGAGGGCCTCCAGTGGCCCTCTGGTGCCCTGTCCTCAGGTCTCCGCGCTAAGACTGGTTGCGAGACCCTTCCTTGGACCCAACCCCACACCCACCTGTGGCTCCCAGGCCCTCCCAGAGCCCTGGGTCCTACTTCTAAGGTCCCATGGGGGGCGGGAGGGGAGCTCCAGGACCCTCTGCCCTACCCTGACCGCGCATTAGAGTGACCAGATCTGATCAAGGACCCTCACCATCTATCCAGAAGCCCCTGGCCCGCTCCACAGCCCGCACCCCGTGGGCCCTGCCGTGGGACCGTGAGACTCAGGGACCCACCCCACACCCTCCACCCCTACCCGCGTGTCCCGCAGGCAGGCGGCGCTGGAGGTCACTGCCCGCCACTGCGGCCGGGAGCTGGACCAGTACGGCCAGTGTGTGGCCGCCAAACCCGAGTCCTGGCAGCGGGACTGTCACCACCTCAAAATGAGCATCGCTCGCTGCACCTCTAACCAGTGAGTGCGGGACAGTCCCGGACTGGGGCGGTTCGGAGGGGGCTGGGAGTGCTAGAGGGCAGTGCAGGGACTGGGAGTGCAGAAGGGCAGTGCAGGGGCTGGGAGTGCAGAAGGGCAGTGCAGGGGCTGGGAGTGCAGGAGGGCAGTGCAGGGGCAGGCAGCAGAGGGAACAGTGGGGGAGGTGGGGAACACGGGGGTGGGCAGTGGGGGGAGCCAGTGCCGGAGTGGGTAATTCGGGGGACCAGGCAGTATGACCAGGTGGGGCCATTAGGTGGGGGGTGGACAGTGGGGTGGGGTAGTGCCAGGAAAGTCGAGCTTGAGGTGCCCTCCCTGCAGCCCAATCATCCGTCAGATCCGCCAGGCCTGTGCAGAGCCCTTTGAGGCCTTTGAGGAGTGTCTTCGGCAGAATGAGGCAGCCACAGGCAACTGTGCGGAGCAGGTGCGCCGCTTCCTGCAGTGCGCTGAGCAGGTGCAGCCGGCGAGCCCACCTGCAAGTGTGCAGGTAAAGACCTGAGGTCACCCTCAGCCCCATCCTCCCAGCACCGACCTTCACATGCATCCAGAATTCACAACACTCACCTCTTGCCCCATCCATAGCCCCTGCTTTAGTCCAGCCACCTGCCCTCCAGGACACCTGTCCCATGTCCCCCTGGCCTCTGTAAACCCGTACAGTACCTGCCTCCGCACAGTGACCAGAGAGCACCTGAGAACTGAGAACTGGTCACATTACTTCTTTGATATTGTTCACACCGAGGAACAAAACGCCAGGTTTGGGCAGCCTCTGTCTTCCCCAGGCTAACTGTTCAATCTTCTTCACCCTCTCCTGCCCCTCAGCTGTCCTGGCAGGTGTGAGGTTCGGGTAAAGGTCTTACTCTTTTTTTTCTTTTTTTAAATATATTTTATTGATTTTTTACAGAGAGGAAGGGAGAGGGATAGAGATTAGAAACATCGATGAGAGAGAAACATCAATCAACTGCTTCCTGTACACTCCCCACGAGGGATGTGCCCGCAACCAAGGTACATGCCCTTGACCGGAATCGAACCCGGGACCCCTGAGTCCGCAGGCTGACGCTCTATCCACTGAGCCAAACCAACCGGTCAAGGCAAGGTCTTACTCTTTTTAATGTATATGGTACTTTAACAGATACAGTATTACTATGGTATTACAATTTCGTGGATGTGCCCAGCCAGTGGTAGCTCAGTGGTTGAGCATCAGCTCATGAACCAGGAGGTCAAGGTTCAATTCCAGGTTGCAGGCTCAATCCCCAGTAGGGGCTGTGCAGGAGGCAGCTGATCAATGATTCTCATCATTTATGTTTCTATCTCTCTTCCCTCTCCCTTCCTCTCTCTGAAATCAATACATATATATATGTATATATATATATATATGAATTTTTTTAAAAAAAATAAAAATTTCATGGATGGGCACAGTTTAAAATAAATGTCTATAAAGACTCCTTAGTGGGGCAATTTTGGGAAAAGATTGAGAAACCCGGTTTAGATGTTTATGGGACTGTGAGCCCCAAAGGTAAAGATCACCTCTTCACCAGCCCTTCTGGTACTCATCTGCCCCTCCCTGTCTGCGGCCCTGTCTTCCCTTCTTGCTCCCCGGGGAGAGGCTTTCTCTTGGCCTCCGTGCTCCTTTCAATCCTTCCAAATGATTCATTTTCTGCAGTGGTCCCCAAGTGTTGCGAGCGAGTCTGACTGGGTTCTGATTTACTTAAAACCCTTTCCAGAGACCAGGTCTCAACTTGGTGCTGCCTACAGGCCCTCCCCCTTCCTCCAGTCCTGTGTTCCAGCCCCAGGGAATGGAACTTACTCCACCTCATGTCTGTCCTGCTGGCAGGCTTTTATCTAGCTGTTTCCTTCCGCCTGGACTGCCACCTAGTCCTGCTCACCTCCCTCAGAAAACCTTGTGTGATGGGCCCTCCCTATGCCGGGCTCCCACAGTCCCTGACTCCCTAATTATGGCTTACACGCCACTGCTTTGTAACCACTACCCTCCCATCTCTTGTTTCAGAGAAGTTCTTGCTGAAACGGGGGCAGAAGCCCTGTCACCTGGACCTCAGTCTTGTGTTTTCATGAGGCAGGATAAGTGAAAGGTTCAGGCCCCAAGAACTCCCAGCAGAAAGGACTTTTAATTCTTCTCAGGAAATATTCTTAAGGAGCTCATGCTGTTCACGCTAGTTTCTTAGTCATATGTTGGTGATGTTTTTTCAAGATTTTGGGGCATCTGAATAGTAAAAACCCCACCTTTCCATCTTAGGATCAATTGCTCCTTTCCTCCTGAGATAAGCAACCAGCCTGTCCCCATCTCATAAAGTATGCTGTACGGTTTAAAGTGCCACCTACATCTCCCCACACACACCTCTCTCTACCCTGACCTCGTTTTCTTTGTAGATATTCAGTCAAAATATTTTTGTTCATTTGTTGTTGTCTATCCCTCCTGAGTCGGAGACTTGTGCCTGCCTGCGTCCAGTGCTGGGTCCCCAGTACCTGTAGCAGTGCCAGGCACACAGTAGGTGCTCAGTGCATACAAGCTGCCTTCCTTGCTCCCAGTGACAGTTTACTAGGTCCCCTGTTCATGGGCTCCACAGGCGGCCTCTGCTTTGTCTACACAATCTCCCCAGGGCGGGCACAGACGGTGGCAGATGATGATGTGTTTTCCACAGGCACAGCCACTTCCTGCCTCCTGAGGACTCTGGACTATGTGAAAGCTGGACAGGAGTGACTGGCCACTTACTGCCCCCAGCCCTGAAGAGTGAGTGACCAGATGCTATTCTCAGGGCCCTGGATATGGGCCCAGTCTCTGGACATCGGGACACTCAATAAATAAAGACTGTGTACACCAGGCTTTGATTCCTGCCTTCAGCACTGAGGGCCCTAGACTCCCTTCTGGGACTTCCAGAAGACTGCACGGGACATCCTTCACTCTCCAAGGGGCAACTTCCGTCTGTCACTGAGGGCTGTTTTTGTGGGCACTGACCACCTAGCACTTCTGCCTGCACTGTGAGCTTGAGCGGCTCCTGCCATTAGAAGAGCCCTGAGCAGCACTCAGCACACAGAAGGGGGTGCCATGTGGATCCAGGCAGTGGCTGCTGCAGCTTCTTCCTCTCTCTTAGGGTGTCAGATTCCATGGGCACAGCTGGTGATCACAGGCTCTAGAGGGCAGGTCTGCAGGAGAAGGACCCCAGAGTGCTGAACTCTGCATGCCTGGGGCTGCACCCAGATTTACTATTCAGACCTGTTGCTCCCCTGGAGGTGACTCCAAATCTCCAGAAATTGGAAGTGACTTGCCAATGCTGACTAGACTGGCCATTTGAAACCTGAGGCTGTGCCCTGGCTTTGAAAAAATGAGCTAGAGTCTGTCCTGGGGATATGATCTTTAAGACAAAGGCAGTTGGCCTGGGAGCTAAGGTGTAAGTCCAAGTGGTCAGGGTGGAGGGAGCAACGTGGTCCCTGAAGGGCTGTGGGGATCTGGTAGCTTTTGTTCCCAGCTCCAGTTTCCTTGGGTTGTAGACTGAGCCCTCCAATTTCTGGCCAACTTCACTTTGCCTGAGTGGGTTCAGTTCCATGTAACTGAAAAGTGTGATAACAGACAAGACAAGATCAAGACTACATTTCAGAATATGTTCCAGTAGGCTAGATCAACTCCCTACGTGGTGACCTCAGGGGTCCAGGGGAGCCAAATGGAAGCCTTAAACCTTTACCACACACCATTGGTCAAAGCAAGACCTGAGACAGGAGTGGCGGGGGTTGGAGGGGATAGCACCTCTCAATGGCATTTAGCTGCAAAGACTTTTTGCCCGTGTTTAAACTACCATAAAATCTTCATAGTTTCTATTCCTGGGTGTTGGTGAACTATTTTTATGAGTTTTTCACATGATATGAACTTTCAAATTGCTATAAGTTTGTTAAGAATATCATAATTCTTGTTTTAAGGTCTACAGAATCTAGTGGAAGCCCCTTTTCCTTTTTGGTGTTGGTTATTTGTACCTTTTTTTTTTCTTCATCGTGTTGACAGGACTTTCTCAATTTTATTAACTTTTTCACAGAATCTGGTTTTGGCTTTGTTGATGTCTCTATTTGTATATTAATTTTTAATTTTCTCCTCTTTATTTCCTTCTTTTTGGATTTAATGTTTGTTTTGTTTTGGGGGCATGGTTTTTTGTTGTTGTTTATTTGCCTTTTTGACATGATTGTTTAGCTCACTGATTTTCAATCTTTTTCTAATGCATGCACTTAAATTTCCCATACAGCATGACTTTCTACTTTGCTTTTTTTATTTATCTCAGATATAGAAATTTAAAATTGTGTTTCTTAATTTCTAAACAATTGGGAATTTTTCTAATCATCTTGCTCAATTGCTATTGGGATGGAAACATGTTTTACATGATTTCCATTTTTTTTGAAACATGTTGAGACTTTATGTCTGGGAACATGGTCACTCTTGTGAATAACCCTTGGTTCGCGGTGCACTGTCTAACTTGGGTTCTTCCAGCACCAGACTTGGGGACAAGGATTTGAGAGATGCTCCCTTGTATAACTAAGGTCCAGTTAAACAGGAATACCTCCTGCCTACTGTTTGTTACAGGAAGAGGACACACTGGAGCAGCATCAGTGACATAAGAATAGGCCCCACAATGAAAGGTTGATTCGTGGTAAGGGGTCCAGAGAGGCCAGGGGCTGGGTGCTTTGTCCTTCCTTCTATAAAGAATGAGGCTGGAGCCCTAGCCAGTTTTGCTCAGTGGATAGAGCATTGGCCTGTGGACCGAAGGGTCCCAGGTTTGATTCCAGTCAAGGACATGTACCTAGGTTGCAAACTCTTCCTAGGCCTGGGCCCTGGTCAGAGCACGTGCAGGAGGCAACTAATCCATGTATTTCACATTGATATTTCTGTCTTTCCCTATCTCTAAAAGTCAATGGTAAAATATCCTCGAGTGAGGATTAAAAAAAGAAAGAAAGAAAGAAAGAATGAGGCTGGATACACTTTCTCCCTCAGATCAGGAGCCACCTAGAACACTTTAGAACCAGTGCCCAAAATGAGGGCTCAGCTGGGATGTTTACATTTTGCTGGTCATCTATGCATATCCCAAAGCAGCCTCAACTATCACCTCGATCTGACAAACCTTCACGTCATCCTACACACATCACCTCCTCACCATTTCTCTCTTTCTCCGCTTTACCTTTTGTTCAGAGCACACAGCACATCCTGACTTCATGTTATGCATGTGCTGGCTGGTTTGACTCTTTCATGCAAACATGCCATCATGACAAGCTCTTTGGTTGAGCACTGTGCTTCTAGTGCCTGGCCCATAGGAGATGCTCAATACATACCTGATAAAGGAGCCAATGAATGAATTCCTCTTAACCCAATTACAAATTTGATGAGATCCCAATCAAAATTCCAAGGGAATTTGGTCAAATGATTCAAAATGCATACATACTAAAATTTAGAATATGTGTATCTTTTGAAACAAATTTTATTTGCAGGAAGTAATTCAAAACCCAGCTGGAGTGGTTCAGTGGCTGGAGCATGGACCCATGAACCAGGAGGTTATGGTTTGATTCCCCTGGAAACATGGCTGCGTTACAGGCTTGAGACAGCTAATCAATAATTCTCATCATTGATATTTTCTACTCTCTCCCTTTCCCTTACTCTCTGAAACCAATAAAAATATATATTAAAAAAAGAAACTCCATATCCCTTATCAGTCATTGCCTTTTTAAAAAAAAAGGGAGAGAAAATAATTGAATAAATGTTCAGAGGTCGTCACAGAATTATTCATAAAGCAGAAAACAAAATAATGTTAAGTCCATTAGTTAGAGGTAAATTATATAATTTATGACGTAGCAGGAGAAAAGATACTAGATGTTATTTTTCAGAAACATTTTTAACATTTGAAGTAGAATATATTATCAAACAAATATAACATGATTTAAAAATATAGATAAGTGCATATTTACATATATGACTAGCATATCTGAAAGGATATGTATAAAAATATATGTAATTATTTCCAATTTAGTATGTGGGTGGTCACTTATTTTAAACTTTTTTCTACCTACAATCACAAATTATTTTTTAATAATCTTTTATTTTTAAAAAGAAAAAATAAAATCTAATCCAATTTCTTTATTGTAAAGATAAAGAAATTGGCCTCAAGATTTAAATTGTGTGTGTATTTGAGTATTGAAGATGAGGATAAAGAAGTGTATCTAGTGTAATTCACCTGGAAAGATGAGCCTGTTTGGTTTTGCCAAAAGGTTGGCAGTTGTTTTAATTTTTTCTGAACCAAATTGTATTTGTAAAAATAAATCCCATGACTAGCCACAATTCAGAAGTTCATGCACTTGACTAATTGTATCACAGACATTAATACAGCAAAACACAGACCCACAAATATCTCAGTTTTGTTCCTTCCTTCATCCCCACACACATTTTCTTGTTTCTACATGGGTCTATTCTGCCTTGTTCATTTCTCAGAATAGTCTTAGGACTCTCAATTGCCTTGCTCTCTGCTGTTAAATTTATATTTATTTCAATTTTCATTCTATTCAACCTCATCTGTCCATTCTTTAAGCTTCTTGCTATTCTGTTTTCTTTGATTTTCTTCTCTTTAAAATCTCATTCTCACATAGTTGAAGAAAAAAATCTATTTTAATATCATATAAAGTCAACTTCTTAAATGGTTTTAGTTCTTATAGTTTTTCACTGTTTGTACTGAATGTTTTACTCAAGTTTCTTTCACCTTATTTTTACATTTCACATTACCTTCTTTTAGTCCTCTACCTTCCCTTTATCACCTCACTATAGAGTGTATCTCAGAAGACTTGCTTCTGGTTCAGTTCATCATTCTCCTTTTGTATAGTACATTTAATTTTTTCCAGAGAATGTTGCTTCAGTCCTTAAGGACTTAGCTCCTTACATGGGCTTTGGTGGAGGTCATGGGGCAGCCCCTGCAGGTCTGACTCAGGTGAGGGTATTCGATCCCCCCTCTCCTCTGACCCTTGAGTGCCCCCCAGACAGGCTCCCTCACCTTCTCCTGCAGCCTCTTCTTGGACCTTTGGATGTTCTGCATCAGGCAAACCTGGAGGGCTGCTTCTGCCAGAGTGGAGGGCAGGGTCATAGAGGTCATGCTCACCTTACCCCATTCCCCCCACCACGCCTGACCTCACACCCTGGCCATTTGACCCAAGTCAGCTGGTACCAGTGCCACCCCGACTCCAGCATGCTCTGATTTTGGATGCCTCCCAGCTACAATGCTCACTCGGTGTGTGTGACCTTAGGCCTGGGTCTGGCTCCCTGACCCGTTCCCTCCTCAGGAAAGTGGGAGACCTCCACCGAGCTCACAGGTTCTCCTGAGGACTCAGTGTCATTCCTGTCATCATTGTTCTCGCCCTCAGCCCTCCAGGAGGGACAGGGCAAGGAGCTCTGCACAGTCCTTTCCTGCCCTGAACTCATGACCACCCTGTGAGGCCTGCAGTACAGGATGGTCACCCCTCCGTGTCAATGATGAGGAGACTGACTGGGTGCTCTAGGGGCGCAGTGGGAAGTCTCAGGGAGCACACCCCTCTGTCTCTAGTTCAGCCAGTGGGACCTGAGGCCAAGCAGCCCTTTTGTTCCCCTGGCCTGTGGCAATCCCCATCCCTGGGACAGGCAGGAGGCACTCCCCTGGGAGGTGTGGAGAAGACACAAGTGGCAGCAGGGCCCTGGCATCCTGAGGACAGGCTGGGCTGGTTTGGGGAAGAAACGTACCCCACCCACCTGTTCACCCAACAGCCTGGAGGAAGCTAAGGGCCAGCGGGAGGGGCCCACGTGGAAGCCAGAGACCTGCTCAATGTGCCAGCTCTCCACCCCAGCCTGGAACAGCCCGGCCACCACCCTGTGTGCCATGACCGGGGCCTGCTGCCCCTGAAACTGCCCACCCTCCCCACCTGCCCATGGACCAAACAGATTCTTCATCCTGGTAATTGGGACCAAAAGGGTGAACATTTTCAGAGGATCTTTAAGGGACAAACCACCACAGCCGCATCCTGTGCAGTCCCCCCTTCCCTCACGCCCTCCTCTCTGCAGACCTCCAGGCTCGCTCTACCTTGATGAGCTGTGCCCTCCTCAGTGAGTTGTCTCCCTCACACAGATTTTGGAATGTAACTGCCCACCTCCTGAGGAGAGGGAAAGAGGAAAGACATGTTTAGGAAAGATGGGGGAACGGGTTAAGGGCAAATTTGTTTTGACAATGTCATGTTTCAAACTGCCCTGGTGAGGGTATCACGCGGTTCCTCTGAGCAGGTAGGTCTCCGTGGGACTGGGGCAGGGCTCTCATGCTGGTCACTCGGGCCCCCTTCCCATGTCTATGGAGCAGCGATGTTTTGATGATTTGGGAGTTTCAATTGGGCATAGTGTTCTGGTGCTGGAAACTTGAAAATCTCCACTCACACAGACTGCAGCACTCATTCTGCTGGGGTTGCTGGCCCTCTGCTCTGGGCTGTGCAGCAGCAAGTGGCTGGGCTGGTGAGGCCCACAGATCAAGAAGTGTGGGGAAGCACAGGACTTGGTTGGAAAGTCTGGAAGGAGGAATCTCTCAAAGGTCAGGGGCCTCTGGGGGACCTTGCTGAAGGTGGCAGCTCCTGCCTTGACTTTTCCAAACAGGTCTGAGCCCGGGGTGTTTACTGGAATCTTTATGTTTAGTCTTTAGACGTCCTTGCTTAAAGGACACTGCAGATGCATGTGTCTTCTCAAGGCTACTTACCCTGCTGATAGTATCTAGAAGTTAATTTTAGTTCAAGCTGTTGCTACAATAAAAGCCTAAGGAGGCAGGAGAACAGGGCTGTTTGGGTTC